GAAGGGTTAAGGCAAACTTGTATAGTCTGGTTAAGGGAGAAATCAAGCTTTCTGGTGTGGTCAGGGGACAGGGCTCAGTGGAACCAATGCTGGATTGTTCTAGGGGAGAGAATTGTGGAGCTGCCCTAGCACAAGGTAAAATGCTTTTCTACCTCTCAGGCAGGGCAGCTGACAGTTAACAGTTACATAGAAACAAAGAAACAGAGTGAATCAGAAGGGGCCTCCTGGTTCATCTAGTCTGACCCCTGGCTCCAACCAGCTCTGCTCATGACATCTCTACCAATTTAAGTTGAAGCCTGCCTGGTTGGGCAACGGGGTTTGTCCTGCTGTCTTCTTGAGCACTGTAGGAACGTTCTGCGTTGCAGCCTTGCTCTGGGCCTGCATGGGTGCCCACGCTTTCACTCGCTCACCATCCTGCCCATGACCCCCTGTGTACAGCACTTATATGTGCTCCCAGGGGCTGCCTCCCCCTGCACCTGGGCACATGAAGGGCCGCAGCAAAAGCCCCTGGGCCAGGGGCAAAGTGAGCATGTTCTGTGGAATGCGTTTGCCATAGGAACATGTGTGGACGTTTGCCTTGGAAAGTGTTTTGTTTGCCACCCAGCTGAGGACAGTGGGGCTTGCTGACAACCCTCAGGAATGCCAGGAACGCTGAGATAGGAGCGGTGGGGAGGGTGGGGAAGAGCGTGGGCGATCTGGACCTCTCAACCTAATGGTGATGCCCAGGCACAGTCAGCGTGCTCCTCACAAGTCAGGCTGCTGGTTCTGAGTAGCCAAAGGACGCAGCCATTTCTCGGCGTGGCTCCAGCAAAGTGCAATGGCTAGGCAGGGATGCCGAGCGTGGCTGCCACCGCGGTCATTGCTGCTGTCGGCAATGGTGTGCTGCAATGCCCCGCTGCCACGGATATTCCTGACCTGTGGCTGGGCCTTGGGAAGACCGCAAGTGGAAACAGCAGTGGGAGGGAAAAAGCAGTGGGAGGCGGCCAATCAGAATGTGGCTGCAGCTGCCTCTGCAGTTGCTAGGCAAAACAGGAGAGCACAAAATGGGAGGCTGGGGCGCCTCCTCCTGCTGCTGCTGCTGCTCTTGCCACCAAACTTGATGGTGGAAATGCAGAAACCACAGAAAAAAAATTGTAACGGAATTGATGCACCAGACAAGTGATGCCGAAATTTGGAAACCCTAGAACAGACTGTTGCTCTTCCATGAGGATTCAAGGTAATAAGAAGCCATTCCTGCCACGGCTTGGTGTTATGCGTGACTTGAACCTCTCTCTCTATTGTCTCTTCTGACCATTCACAAAATAACAGTGTGAAAAACAGACCCATGTGATTTTAGCTGTTGCTCTGCAGGGAGCTGAAATATGGGGTTGTTAAGTGATGACAGAGACTGGAAGTACTCAGTTTTTCTGGAGGCTGGTATCCATATGCCAGAATGTATTCATGAGTTGACTTGAGGAATCTGAGTTGAGCTGAATGGAAAAATCTAAGGCGGTTAGTTTCTTGTTAGCTGTCTCGAGTGCCATTCTGCTAGGATGCCAGAGTGTCCCTTTGCTCTTTGTTGCTCTTTGTTGTGTTCCCCTGCAGTAGGCTGGGGAGGACAGGTGGACCAGAGCTGCAAGCCAGACCCTGTGCCACAACCGTCATGCACTGCTGTTGGGATGTGCAGCAACCCCTTGTGTTGCTTATTGACGAGCTCCCTGCTAGAGGGGCAATTAAACTATCCGAGCTCCTTTCTGGCTTTGAGTGTATCACACAAATGGATTTCTTTCAAGAAAATGTTGCCCAATGGATATCTATGTGTACAAAAGTTTACTAGATGAATTTCAGACAAATTTACTTGAGCTAGATAGGAGAAAGAAAGACAGAAAGTGACATATCTGTTGTGTTGTTTTTGGATGAAACTAGACTATTATGGAAGGACTTCCTTATTTCTCTCAGTGAGGAAGGTGTTTGAGAATGGGAGCACGTGGATGTACGTGGGGTGGGTTTGCATGACATGACAAGTCACACTGCTTTCTTGTCATGTTCTGTCATGTTGTCTGAACCCTGTCATGGTATTGCAGCATGTTATGTTTGTTCTTTTAGAAACCACAGTAAGAAACAGTGGTGGTCCATTCTATGGTTTCCATGCTGCACCATGGTTTCTCTGATTGTCTGAACCTGGCATTGTGGTTTCCACAGTTCTGCTGGAAAGAGTGGCAGTAGCTGGAAAAGCTGCTCCAGCCACTCAACATGGGATTGAATTTCAGGTGTAGCGGCTGGTAGGACAAAGACCACCGTAAAGTGCAAAAAGTCACCTACTGATGAACAATTGTCTATACAGTTTTAAATTGTAGAAATATGTGTATGGAAGCAGCATAGAAATGTTTAAAATGATATCAAGCTGAACTGACAAACTTTGATGGTGTGAGGTTTACCCAGATCACTTCTGTTGGTCCTCAGAAATCCATCTTAATATATAATATGCCTATATTTTATTTTATTTGAGAATATAATGATAATATTGGGTGCAAGCAATCCTTAAATAAATACCAGTACAATCAGACAGATGACACTGTGTGTGATTGTGTTCCTAAATGGAATAAAGGATGGACACAAAAACTGTAGTGGCCTAAAAGCTTTGCAAATTTGGCCTTTTTAAGCTACTGTTGTCATTTTGTGAAAAATTTGGCAGCAGAGCACTAGTTGCTTTGCTATTGCTGCAGCACATTTACAGTGGCAGGGAAATCACTGCCTGTTGCTCATTCTTGACCAGCAGCTCAAGATGGTCATACCTGCTTTTTATCTTCAAAACAGCCTTGATAGTCATGTCACACTGAGAATGGGTGACTGGTCCAAAGTTCTGCAATGAGCTTCATGGCTGAGTACATTCAAACCCAGCTCTGCACGGTCTTAGCTGGATGCTTGAACTGTTAATTCATTCTGCAGTAACCATGTGGGAGCTGCAGTACTGAAACTGGTCCTGAGAAGGGCAATTCAAAACTGCTGCAAGTCAGGATTATCCTGTTGGAGGGGATAATTTTTCCTTTATCATGGTCAGACAACGCAGGAAGCATGATATGCTGACAGTGAAAGTGCCACTGATTTCCACAGGACTCATCCTTCATTAAGTGTGTATAATACGGCAGACTAGAGGCACCGTGTTATGGACACTGGATGCTGCCTAGATGGCTATAGGAAAAGCACTCTGAGCCTGGAGATGGGACTCCAACATCAGAGCACCTTCACGCCGCCCTCACAGCCAGCGCGGTTCGTTCTGTGCCAGCGGAAGCTCTGATGTGCGAAGACTGGCCTTGGTGCTGAGAGGGGCAGGCAAGGGAGGAGTGAGGTTCCACCCACCTATCAAGAACCCTGGCAGTGCCTCCGGCTCCTCTCCCGATGAGCCAGTCCAAGGCACTCAGCTGGCAGAAATCGGAGGGCAAAGGACACATGGAAGTTATCTTGCCTCTGCACTTCTCCTGCTGTCCATAGGGGGTCTGCAGTCTTTTGAGCTTGGAGGGTTAGAGGCAGCCACCCTGGATCACTCTGTAGGTAAAGCATTCATTTCTAAAGCAGATGCTCTGATGAACAAAAGGAGGGGTGGTCATGAAGGGGCGGTCATGAAAATCTTGCCAATTATCAGAAGAATGGAAAAAGAATCTCCCTTTCTGTGGAGGGAGATTTGAATTTAATAAACTAAATAAACACAGCTAGCCATTTGTGCATAATTTGCATGTTTCTTTATGCACACCATTTAATTTTTTTTTGACTTAGTTCCTATGCAACAGTTTGGGCTTAGGACAGACAACAAACTAATCAAAACAAAACTGTGGAATAAAAATCTACAAAACAATTCAAGATACAGTATTTTACCTGTAACACTGTTAATAGGGGTTAACATGAAAGAAACCATGCCCTAAGCGGAAAGAAGAGGTCGTACAGAGAGGGCAGCCTTCGGGATAAGTGACACGGCAGGGAAATGAGCAGCGAACGGTGACTTGGACTTGGGAGTGTTCTGAAAGACAGGGAAGGAGGAGGAAGTTGCGGTCTCTGCCAGTCTTCTTAAAACACTTGCACAAGTTGGGGATCAAATGAAGAAATGATGAGGCTACAAAAACAGAACATTTCTAGTTGTCATCAGCTTCTGTTGAAATAACTTGTCTGGGTAACATGGAACTGGATAAGCTGAACAGCAAGTTAATATCGCTGAGGAGCCAGATTCTGCTCTTGTGAGCAGCCCCAGTGCCACAAGCTAGAGATGCCATGTGAAGAAAGCAAGGAACTCCACCTTGGCTTCCTGCAGATGTACCAGTTTACCAGTTGCCTCCCACCACCTCTGAACTCAAAGAAGGGGCGCCATGCCTTACAGCTAACTGGATCAGAGTGCAGCCTGCTGCCCTCTCTTGCAGGCTTCTCACCTAATTCGGTGGCCAGTCACTTTGCCAAAGGCACTGAAATTAACATTAAGTTCAGCTGGAAGTAACCATACTCACTGGAATTAGAAAGAGATTTATTTTAAAAATCACTATCACTATTCTCTTCCAATAGCCAAAGCTGTCTGAGAAGTTCACAACAATGCATAAATTAGAATAATTTAGTACAAACCCGAACCCTAGGAGTAGTAGCCCAACCCTCCCCCATGTCTCTTGCTTTTCTAATTTTCTTTGATTAGAGAAATAGAAACTGGTCCAGTTTCTATTTCTCTAATCAAAGCTAGATGTGATTTATATCACAGCTAGATGTGATTTATTACACCCGAGTCTTCTCAAGAATATGCACTAATTGCCTTCTCAAAGCATAGAGATGGTCTATTTTTACAGCTGACCAGTGAAATATTCAAGGCCTCAATACTTCCTACTTCTACAGTTAGATCACCATCACACACCAGAAAGCACTGAACTGAGTAACCACAGGAAGAAAAAAGCTTGACTGGGGCTTCTACCACTGAGCTGTGACTCATTTCACATAGTTGCAGACCAGAAATTAGAGAAGTCAGAAATGCTGAAGCAGAGCATTCTATTAAATCCACATTTGCAGAGGTAACAAGGCAGCCTGCCATCCCAGCCTTCATCATGTTTCTTTATTTGTCCCTGAAATGGATCCTATTGATGGTGTTTACAGGTAACCAAATATTAATAGCATTATAAATAATAATGGGTGACACTTCTGTAAAGTCACCACTTCAGACTCCTATAGTATTGCTGCACAGATGAAATGCTTTGTCTTCAAAGGCAGACATTTAGCAAGCATGATTTATGATACAGTCTTTTAGGGCTGCAGTCTCAGATGTATGAGGAGGAAGTGTTTTCCATTGACTTATGCCTTAGTTGGTCTGGCATGCATGAATGATAGAGTGTTCCTATATTGATGTTATTTGCATATGGTAAGATCTTTTATGAATACAGGAAACTAGTTTAGCATTAGTATCTGATGTTAATTCAGCATCAACAGTATGCCATATTTTGTTTTTTTTTATTAATCCTGATTTTCTGTTATTAACATTCGGATAGCAGGCATTTCTGTTTTGTATGACAATGAGACAGATGGCTATTGATGATTTTATTCCGGTTCTGCTGTTTCAGGGTTGGAGGTATACTCGATAGCTCCACGATGGGATAATTCCTTTCTAGACTATCCATAAATGTGGTCTTTATAACCTATTAATACTTGCTATAAATTGCCATGGACCGATAGTCTGATCATTGAGACAGCTAGGGCTCACCTTGGGGCAAAATCCAGGGTTCTGTGGGACAAGGGGGACCAGAGGTGGCAGTTGAAGTGGCAGTGGCAAACGGGGCCAGGTTGGCACTTGGTCAGCAAGGGCATGGAGAGGTCCATCAGAGCTGAGGCTATTAACCACAGCATCTGTTCGGTCTGCTTATTTGAAAACAGAAACAAGCACAGACCTTTTATGGCCAGGCTGGTCAGCTGGACATATACATGGTTATGGATGTCATTCTGTTGCTGTTCTGTGCCATCAAGTTGTCTCTGACTTATGGTGACCTTCTAAATGAAAGTCCTCCAAAATATGCTATTCATGACAGCCCTGCTCATCTCTTGTAAATCCAAGGCTGTGGCTTCCTTTATGGAGTCAATGCATTTCATATTTGGCCTTCCTTTTCTTCTTCTGCCTTTGACTTTCCATGGCATTATTGTCTTCTCCAGGGAGTTTTGCCTTCTTATGATGTGCCCAGAGTATGACAACCTCAGTTTTGTCATTGTTGCTTCTAAGGAAAGTTCTCGCTTGATCTGATCTAGGACCCACTAATTTGTCTTTCGGTTGGTCCAGGGAAATCCAAAGCTCTGTTCCGGCACCATATTTCAAATGTACTCATTTTACTCTTTTTAGTTAAATAGGTATTCTTCTTTTCAAAAACAAAATGGTGCTCGTTTCTAAGGAAACATGTTTGTGTCAGCAGTCATGATGGTGCTCTGATTTAAATAAGTTCAAAATAAGAAACTCCATGCATCTAGGTATTTCTTTTGTTGGCCAACAGACTTTGTCCTTGACTCTTAAGTCCAGGGAGCAAAAATACCTATTTATTATTGATGGGGATGTCAATGCTATTTCATAAACAAATGAACAAATGAGGTACTAAGAAATCCAAATGATTTCTTGCTTTTAAAGGGATCTTCTTTCATTTTGTTTGGTATTGTAAGAGGGCTCAGTGTTAATTTCTTCATTTTATATTTATTTCTTGAATTTTTATCCTGCTGTTTGTGATAAAGCAATACATAAGAACGGTTCAAAGTAAAAATAAAAGCATGAGAACAAGCCTAAATGTTATAAAATTTTGCAGATAACAATGATAAAAACCAGAACCAATGATTTGAGAGTATAAATAATGTTGTTGATGTTATGCTTTATGCTTTATTTTGTGATCCACTTCTGCCTGTGCTAAACTTATGAAATCAGAGATAACAAGGCAAACATTTGCCTAGAATACTCTAATAGATTGCCTTGGGCTGAAAACCATTTCCTTTGCTGAGATGCTTAAAATCCTTCTTTTCCCTAGTGTGCCCTGTCCCTGAATGGCAGATATGTAACAATATCATATTTGGAAAGAACTAAGTATTTCTGCTTTACTTGGCATGCCAGGCATATCGAAAGCAGAGTTTCCATGAAGTATAGAAGATGAACATTCTCTTTAAAGTGTAACCTTTACATGAGTTAAGAAAAGGTTACATTGTCACAAATGACTAAGTTTTTGGGCAGGAAGTCTTCTCTGTTTGATACCACAGAGGACACTTGGGTGCGTTTCCCTTCATTTTCTGGTCTTCATTCAAGAGAATGAAAGATGTGGGAACATGCGCCTGAGCAGAATGTTTTCAAGTGGCCAATTTATCCCTATACTGGGCTTGAGAAAAACAGTAGAGATGCAGACCTTTTTACAAATACTGACTTGCCTATATTATTTGCTGTAGTAATCCCAGTCCTTTTTGGTAACTGCATCTTCTTTGTTTACAGCCTTAACATCAAGTGCTGGGAGTCTAGTACAAGGAAGACTGGGCCAGAACATCACCATGCCCTGCCAGTATTCTGTTGAGAAACATGGGACCACAAGCGTATGTTGGGGGAAAGGGCCTTGTCCAGTATTTAGATGTTCTGGTGAAATAGTCTGGATTGATGAGCAGCAGAAGATATATGGGCAATCCAGCAAGTACCATCTCCTGGGAAATGTTTCTCAAGGGGATATATCCCTGACCATTGTGAATGTCAAGGATGAAGATGCGGGGGCTTATTGTTGCCGTGTGGAGATTCCAGGTCTGTTCAATGATCTCAAAACAGATGTTAAACTTGTGCTTCAGAAAGGTGAGCAGAACACTTCCATCTTGGATATATCTGCACATTTTATATGCCCCATGTATTTAAATTAGTGTTAGTTCTTTGTTTGACATGTTACTAACTTTTCAGAAAACAGATTTGGAGTTTTTGCTATGTGGACTGGCTATCCCAACAAATTTGTTACATTTCTCTTCCAGTCCCCAACACTGACTTTTACGAAAGATGGATATATGAAGCTATGGACTATTATAGTTAAAACAGAACCTCAGTATCACAGACTAATAATCATATATTTATGTTTTAGTCATACCATAGATACCTTGGCTTTCCACAAATAGCATGGTGCTATACAACTACAAAAATGCAAACAATAACACATACAAACATAAAAGCAAAGCAACCATATTAAAACATTAAGAGCATTATTCACAATTTTAAAGTCCCAATGAAATCATCTTAGAGCATAGTCCAAAGTGGCTGCTCACAATCATCTGAATGCAAAGGACTACAGGCATCCAATGGAGGGCAGAAGATCTGCAGAGATGAAGGTCGCTCTTCCCACCCAGCAAAAGACTTAGTCAATTTTGGACCTGCTGATTGTTGTAACCCCACTCTTAATCGAACATGCAGCTAGGGCATGGCTCGACACGGGTAAAAAGCATGATCAGGGTGTCCTGTTCGCGTAAGAACAAGAACCCCAACGAAAGTGCACGCTACGCAAGGCTGACAACAAATCAGGCTACGCTCAAGCATAACCGCAGATGTTATGCCCTTGTACCCTCGCTTGCTTGCTTTAGCATGAAAAATGTGCAAATGGGGCTCAGTGTGTTTCCCCTATTGTTCGCTGTTATTCAAGCACCTGCATAGTTGTAAAAGAGTATAAAAAAGCTGCTTTCTTCTGCTCGGGACCGCACTCCGACGAGTGTGGTCCCTGCAGGTAATAAATCCCCTCTCGAAAATTCCAACTAGTCTCTGGTCTCATCCATAAAACCGTGGGATATAACACTGATGAACAGGGGAGGCTGAGGCATCATCAGTATACATCATATCTTGACATAGCTTTACTCCCCACCATCCCCATCTGCAGAACACTGTCTCCAAGGTCCATTTTCTGACCTCAGAGCCACAGGCTGCTCATTTCCTCCTGCACCATCTGTGAGGGTGGAGGGTGTTCTTTTCCTGAGTCTCATAAACCTAAAAGACCCAGTCACCAAATTTCCTTAATCCACAAATGTCAGTCTCTCCAGACACATGCCTGAAAAGGGGGCACTGAGACTGAAGCTGTTACCTTTCTACTTTCTTAGAATTATTCTCCTCCCTGAGTACTTAGGAATTCCCATTCTTGGTCGATCCAAAAATCCAACCAACCAACCAACAGCTCTAGCATAACTTGGAGCCAATATTTGTTGTTTTTCTGTTTTTTATTTGATTTTAAATCTTGTATTGTCAATTTGTATGTTTTAATATATATGTGTGCATACTTGCTGCTGTGAATTGTTAGGTGGAGTAGAAATTAATTAAATAAAAAACATTGGGTATGTAGAGATTATTCAGTTTTCCAGGCAAACAGTGGAGCGTGGTTGCCTACCAAAACCCTCTGCAGGAGGAACCGTTTGACTGTGTTTCAATAGGGAGCAGATGGCTGGGCTATGACCAAGCTAGGCCCAGAACGAAAACTGAGGCAGTTGCTGATCTCCTTTCCTTGGAAGATACTACTGGGAGATACCACTGGATGTTCGATGGATAGGTTTACGTAGCTTTGGCTCAGCCACACTCCACACTGGTGTGGGAGACCACACCAAGTTTGGCAAACTTTCTCAATGACTAGTGGCTGCATACCATAATGCTCTGCTCTATTAGTTCAAGCCTAAGTTCAAAAATATATTAATATTGTTGCTTTAGGCTACTGCTGATTACAGTAAAATGTAACTGGAATTTTAAAAATTGGTTTCTTTCTCAGGGCACTTGGGTATGCCTTCATCTGCAGTGCCAGGTATGTACTGTATATAAATGGACTATGATCTCTACTGAGACTCAGGGTAGTAATAGGAGGTTGCCATATAATAAATGTTCCTTTCTTATAGCATGGAGGATAATGATGCAGAAATTGATTATATATCCAGGTTATATCTACTGTTAGGCTGTAAGTTCTCTGTTGATCCTGAATTTGTATTATTCTTTCTATGCCTTCATTGCATATAAACCTTGTAGATCCAATTAATTAGCCAGAACAAAATCTGACCTCTGCTTTCTAGGCAATATTTCTTGCTGGGCTACTTTGCCACATGCAATGAATAGTTATTTTTCCCCTGATCTATTATACCTGCTCAGTGGTGGATGTGTGAGAGGCACAAGAGAAGTACTGCAGCCTTTGATGTGGCTGAACCCATGATACTTTTCATTTGCAAATGACACAAGCACCTCTTTCTGCAACCCTATCAGTACTTGTAATTCCATTGCTACTATACTAGCTGTGATAACAAAAATTACAATGACAGAAATATTCATCTTCAACAACAAACTGTGCTCTTGCTGATGAATATTTGACACGTACCAGCCATACCCATAAAAGTGACTGGTCTGGGTTTATCGGAGGCATTTTTACTGATCGTGTAATGTCTGGCTCACTGGTGTGTCTCATGATGCTCACCCCAAACCCTCCTCCTCATGCTATTTCTCCCATTATATCCCAGATGTCTCCGGACCAGGTACATCCCTACTTTTTTATAGGTTGCATTCCCCCCGCCCCCCCAGTGCATGCTAAACCCCTGCTACTGTTTTGGAGCGGCTTGAGTCGGGTGGAAGGCTAGTGGGGAAAGCCACTAGTGTGTCCTATCAGGCATTGAGGCAACAGCAGCAGCAGCTCTGCGGAGACCCTCCAGTTGCTCTCCCACCTCCTCCATTCCCCAACTTTCCCAGTGAATGGAGAGTAAATGCTATGATACTTCCCCTGAAATGCATGTCTGCTCAGAAGTAGATCTCATTGATTCCAGTGGCGCTTACACCTGGGAAATCAGGACAGGGACTATGTTTGCATGTGGGTGACGTGAAATGGGAGTATGCCTGGCTCTAGCTTCATAAGAACATGAGAAAAGCCATGCTGAATGAGACCCGTGCAGCATTATGGCCCCACGGAGGTAAACCAGCAGCTCACAGGCAGAGGATGAATAGCTCTCTCCTGCTTGAGAGAGTTATCACCACAGCAAGTGGTGTACACAGGAGGGGAGGAGAGAGGCTGTCACTCCCTGCCCCATTTTTAAGTGATCACCATTCCTTCCCATAGATGAAAAACCGTACAACTTTTTTTAAGGGGCCATTTCCTCTTTGCATATCACCTTTTGAATTCTGCCTTCTTCTGCAAATACATTTGTGACAGAAGTTCACACTCTGCACAGTGGAAACAATGCTATATATATCAGTATGTATTCCTACAGCAGTAAGTGTGTTTTGCGTAAACTCTGAGAGGGGCAATGGTATAGATTTACCCTTGCTCAAACTGGTATGGCTTTATGGAGTGGTCCCATTGGATTATTATTTATTAGATTTATATCCCACCTTTTCTAAGAGCTCAAAGCAGCTTACACCATTCTTCTCCTCCTGCTCTCAATCTCATCCCCACAACAACAACTTTGTGAGGTAGCTTGGGCCAAGAGTCTGTGACTGGCCCAAAGTCAGCCAATTGGCTCCATGGCTGAACGGGAACTAAAACCTAGATCGCCTGAGTCCCAGACACACGCTCTTAACCACTACACCACACTGTATGTATATACACTAGATAAGATATCCATTTTTAGAACATTTACCTTATCCAAGAGACCAATTTGGGACCTTTACCATTTGCTTAATTCTACTTATACCTGGGATGGGATTTCCTGTGAATAACCTGACCCAGACTTACAGGTAGAGCTCAAATTCAGGTTTTGCAACCCAATAGCCATTCTCTTGTAAGCAGTACCCAAATGTCTAGGTACAGCATTCCCACAGGAAGAATCAGTGACTTGCCCAACCAACTGAAGGCCTTACAACAGCTGGTCACAAGTCAATATGACCCACAGCAATACCAAAATTACTCTTGGGGTTTGAAAAATAATCAGAGGGCATTGTCTGAAAAAGGCTTGCATTTTGCTTGGTAGAACTGTTGGCACCAGAGGTGTGGTAACAGCATGGCTGACCCAAATGGAAGCTGAATGGGAAAAAGATTGCCCACCCTGGTTGTACATGCACTTTTACTCCTCGGCTGAGCACCAGTAAAATGATTCTGTAATCAGATTGGGGCATCACAATTTTGCAACCTGAGTTTCTCTGTAAGCAAGTGTTGCTTTGGTAAAATGATAGTTCTTTTAAGACAAAATTGACAGTGTCAGTTCTTTAAGGGGAGGTTCAACATAAGTTATGATGAGTTTCTGATGAATTATGTCTGCCTGACTTCTAACCACTTCCAGATAGTAGTGACACTTCCCCTTACATGAAGAAGTGAAATCTCTCTAAAGATTTTGTTTTAGGTGAAATGGCATGAAACCAGATAAGTGTGTGGCGGAGGACATGGGAACTTAACCCAGGAGGGATCATTTCTCTAACATGAGCATTGGGGCTTGACTCTGGATCAGTCATTCTTGCTCAGCCCAAGCTCTTTACAGAATTGTTGTGAGCATAAAGCATGGGGATCATGAGAAAGGACAAGAGTAACATGAATAAATAGGAAAGTTGAAAAAAGAGGGCCAAATCATTGTTTTGATTTGGGTCATTCCATCCATATGCCTAATGCATTCCGGGTTTTTTTTTTTTTTAATATTTTGGCTTTAGGGGGTACAGCTCAACTCCATGCACTTTTACCTGGAAGCAAGCAATCCCTTTAGACAGGGCTCACTACCAAGTGTGCACAGTTTATTTTCCATAACTGTGGTCTTGTGGAATTTTTTAACCAGGCCAGAAATTATTGTATTGATGGAGAAAAGGGTTGTGTTTTAACTTAACATAACAGCAAATTGGTTCCTGTGTCTTCTGAAATAATGTTCACTCATGATAAGCAATCTATTGTTTAACAACAACAACAACAACAACAACAACAACAACAACAACAACAACTTTTTCTCTGAAAGGGCTGATTCAAACGGTACAGTACATATAACTGGCTTAACACTGGGCAGAGTCAAATGGATTAGCTCAGAATTCTAAGGTCTAGCAGAGGAGAGACTGTGGTAGAGCATGCTGTGAAATGACATAATAAACCTAAGAGAAAGAGAGGAATGAAAAATAAATAAAATAGTTAAAGTTAAGTGTGCTTAATTCTCATTTTCAGCTAGACCATTAGACTTAAATTCATGCAAATGACATGAGACATTACCATTCAGATATCATGTGGAAAATGTACTAACCAATGTGTTGGTTTTGCATCAGTTCACCCAACTACTTCAGGCTTCACTGGATCCCACTCTGTTGTAGAAAGAAAATCAACATCCAGCACAGAGTTTCTACCACATGTAAGTATCTTTCCTGCCTCTGATATGGAAAGGCAGGCATAACTGTGGGCGCAGGCATCCTGGAACTGCTTTTGGGAATACCTGTATGGGTTTACTTTCGTAAAATGTTCAAAGAATTCAAACCAGTTTTTCTGTGAAGCCTCTGGCATCATCGCTTGCTCTCTAGGTCCAGCAATAAGTTAACCCAAGCATTCATAACTGAAAAATGCATATAATTTCCTGCTTAATGCTTACCTTTATTCCATCTGCTCCTTCCATTGTCTTCCCTGTACTGGATTTCAGATTGTTCTTTGAGGCATACAGCAGTGAATTCCTGTCAGTGAAAAAGCCTCATGGACAGGCCTCATGCTTCTCAGAAGAAGAATCAGAAATAGCAGTGGGATGAATGAAGTATACCTCTTCAGAGCCTTTGATTCGGACTAAATTGAATGATGTTTATTGTTCTAGAATTCTCCTGCCATGGACCATAGTAAATTTAGTGCTGGGCCTGAAACCTTCACGTTAGCAGCTTCATATACATTTGACTATATTTTGATGAATATTTTGATAAATATTATTGAAAAACTGAAAGTTCAAGTTTGATTAATTTACCATTAAACCCAATTTATTCTGTTTTGAACTACCTTACATTGTGCATCTTGCTTGAAAGGAGATCTCTAATATGTACATGTGCTTGCTTGAATCAGTTTAGTATAGATGACTTTTCTACTTCTATGTGGTGTGGTTATTGCTGACATGTGTGCTTTCGCAGAATATTTCTTTACATATTACCACAATGGTAAAACAGCAAAGGAAGGAAGAAAAGTCTTGGACTGTTATATGTGCTAGTGCTGGAGCAAGTGCAGTATTCTTAGTCACCGTGATCCTGCTATTCAAGTGTAAGTATCATTAAAAATCTTCTGTTTTTATATTCTTCCATAAGCTGGGAAATTGTATTTATTTATTTAAAACTTTCATATTCTGTCCCATCACTGATAACAACACCAATAAAATAAGATAAAGAGATAAAAGTAGCACAGCATCCAATAATAAATATAAAAACCACAAATCAAGACAATTAGCAATTAAAACAGTGGGAAAATAAAAAGGTTTTCCCCTAGTGCCAAAAGGAAAAAAGCACAGGCGCCAGGTGAAGCTCCATGGGGAGTGTGTTCCATAGTTGGGGTGCCACCACAGAGAAGGCCCTCCTCCGAGTAGCCACCCTCCTAATCTCTCAGGAGAAGAAGGCAGAACCTCCCAGGACAGATCTCTGGCCATGTAGTTTCTACAGAAGTGCATGTAGTTTCTACTGAACCTCAACAACCTGGTTGTGTGCACTGCACAGGGGAAGTGCAGTGAATACTCTTGCAACCAAGGCATTCATGTAAATGGTTGTTTGTTTGGGTGTGGGGGGAGGATGAAACCATACTGAGGAACGAAGTTTAAAGTCTCTCATCCCTTTGTCAGAATTCTAATCCAGCTCACTTGTCCTCTTTTCTGATAATCTGGCCTTGGGGTGACAGGGACTGGTTTTGTCTTAACTTCTTCCATGTATATCCATTGTCCCAACATAAAAAAGAACTTCTCACATTAAGTTGCTACAACATTTGAAACCTGAAAATATTTGCATAGTATCTTCAGCTTGACAAGTGCTGTACTAGTTCCCAAATATTTATTTTGGAACATTCAGTGCTCTGATCTAGAGTAAATATATTCAAAAAATTCTTCACTAGCAACATCAGTGTTTTTAATTGCAATGTGAAAAACGAGCAAAGGGACAGGGGAGGGCAGACCACTATATTATGATACTTTGAAAGGGGAAATAACATAAGGAAGTGCTTTTGGTAGTTCCTTTATATTATACTAATTATTCAGCTGCCTTTTACCTTCTTTGCTGTTAAGATTTGTGTTGTTTTGGAAATCATGCAGGCTATCGACAAAAGAAGCAGAAGATGAGGAACACTATAAGGTAATTACTCTCCTTGTTTTACTTTAATTCTAGGTTCCAGGAAACTTACTAAAATTCTGGTAAAATTACAAGATGCAAGGTCAACACTGGTGTCACACAGAAACTTACATTTTCCAAGGAAAGTTTTGTTGCTTGTTGTTGTTGTTAGTCAGTCACGAAGTCGTGTCCGACCCATCGCAACCCCATAGACAACATTCTTCCAGGCCTTCCTGTCCTCCACCATCCCCCAGAGTCCACTTAAGCTCACACCCACTGCTTCAGTGACTCCATCCAGCCACCTCATTCTCTGCCTCCCCTTCTTCTTTTGCCATCTGTTGTTCCCAGCATTAGGCTCTTCTCCAGGGAGTCCTTCCTTCTCATTAGGTGGCCAAAGTATTTGAGTTTCATCTTCAGCATCTGGCCTTCTAAAGAGCAGTCAGGGTTGATCTCCTCTAGGACTGACCGGTTTGATCGCCTTGTGGTCCAAGGGACTCGCAGGAGTCTCCTCCAGCACCACAATTCAAAAGCCTCAATCCTTTGGCACTCAGCCTTCCTTATGGTCCAGCTTTCACAGCCATACATTGCAGCTGGGAAAACCATAGCCTTGACTATACGCACTTTTGTTGACAGGGTGATGTCTCTGCTTTTTAGTATGCTGTCTATATTTGCCAAAGCTTTCCTCCCCAGGAGCAAGTGTCTTTTAATTTCTCAGCTGCAGTCCCAGTCTGCCCCAGGAGCCCAGGAAAATAAAATCTATCACTACCTCCTTTTCTTCCCCATCTATTTACCAGGAAGTGAGAGGACCGGTTGCCATGAACTTAGTTTTCTTAATGTTGAGTTTCAAGCCAACTTTTGCACTCTCCTCTTTCACCCGCATCAAGAGGCTCTTTAGTTCCTCTTCACTTTCTGCCATTAGAGTGGTATCATCTGCATATCTGAGGTTGTTGATATTTCTCCCAGCAATCTTAATTCCAACTGGTGATTCATCTAGCCCTGCCTTTCTCATGATGTGCTCTGCATATAAGTTAAATAGGCAGGGCGACAGTATACAGCCTTGCAAAACTCCTTTCTCAATTTTGAACCAATCAGTCATTCTGTGTCCAGTTCTCACTGTTGCTTCTTGACCTGCATATAGGTTTCTCAAGAGACAAATAAGGTGGTCTGGTACTCCCATCTCTTTAAGAACTTGCCACAATTTGTTGTGATCCAGTATGGTTATAGCCACATGTTCATAGGACCCAAAGAAGCCAACAACCACTTATAAACAGTAGCCTACAGCAGCCAAGCCGACCCTAGAGGCAGGCAAGATTATTAGCCTGAAAAATAAATCAACCAAGTATTTAAATACGCATACATACATATAATATAGACTGGGGGGGGGGGGCTGAAAAGTTCTTGTCCTGACCCACTTTTGTGTCATTATGTATCTCTTGTATTTTGGTTTCGGTTTAGTTTCTTTTTGTGCTATTTATTTGTTCTGTCTTTGTTTATTTTATGTTTGTTTTTTGGGTTTGTGTCATTAATTTTGTTGTTTTCCTGGGCTGAGAACTTTTCACCCTCCTCCTTGTGTGTGAGAGTGTGTGCAGTGAAATGAAACAAGGATCTACTGCCAAGACAATTAAAAGTGAAGATATCCCCCTGGCATATAGAGCTCTTCCTGATGACTAGAAATCCCTGGGAACAAGGCTGCCATTCCCATGGGCTTGTGTGTGTGTGTGTGTGTGTGTGGTGGGGGACACTGCTGGGAAGAGTTCTCCAGTAACTGGTGCTGTGGAAAAACAGTGGCTGTAACAGTAAGTTGCAGGGGGCACGACAGCTTGCCTCACCAGAGAAGTCTCAGTTCAACCTGTGAAATTATCAGTACAAGTTGCCTGGTTTTTGTTTAGTTCTTGAGTTAAGTTCAGTTTTGAGGATTCAGAAAACAATTCTTCTAGTCCATTCCTAATCAGGACAGAACCTTTCAGAGTTTGGATATAATTTGGAATGGAACTGTGAGTTTTTCTACATGAGGCTGTTATTTGGCTGTTTCCACTTTTTGGTGAGCTTTTCTTTTCCTGATTTTCAACCACATGACCTCTAGGTGGCACTGTTATAGAAGAATAACATTCCACGCATGAATAAAACGTTGTTTTTGTTTTGCTTGTATAAATACACTTTGCATTTTCTCTTCTCTACAAAAGTTCACCAAAAGTGTTCTTTGACACAGACGTGAAAGTAGAGGATCACAAGAAAATCTAAAGATTCTGTAAACAACTGGGAGTAGGGAATAAGTTCATGTCCCCCCCCCCCCCCCCCCCACACACACACTTTTCCTGTTTTGGTGCTTCCTCCTGCAGCCACTTCCAACTCAGTCAATCATATTTCAGCTCAGGAATTTGGCCAGCAGTAGTCCCGCAAGTTCTTTACACATTCCAGAATGAATGCCTGAAGATTCACACTGAACTCTGGAGCCTGTTTTCTGTCAAATGAATAGTTATGTTCTCACCTACTCTTATGCTAGGGTAGTACTATTTATTAATCCAAAGGCAAATGAAGAATGGCAGTCTTGTATTGTGACCAGCTATATACCCCACCACAAACACACACCAAGGTTTTCTTATCCTAAGCAAGCCCTGGAACTGCAAGCCAAAAGGATATTATTCTCTTACTTCCACTGAAGCAGAAAGGCTGTGTTTGTCCAATTAGGTAAAAATTGGAAGCCTGCAATATGCAAACAGCGATTGAGGGGAATAGGTGCATAGAAGGCAAAGGCCAAGAACACCTGAGCACTAATATGCTAAATCATCCCTCATGCTTACCCATGGCAGGACATTAAAAGTTCTTAAATTCCTAATGTTGTTATATTAAAGACAGTATCTCATTACATCACATATTTGTACCTGTTTGCTTTTTTGCAGCCAGACAGCTTTCTCAAGTCCAGAGGCTGGAGGGACTCCACATGTCTCAGAAGCTAGTGTCCATGCAGTGGAAAACATTTATGAATTGAGCTGAAGAATAATAGGCCTTGGCCATGGCTGCATGGACAACGAAGGGAAGAGGTGATCATTAGCCTTCTGCAAATAGCAAAGAGAAAGAAACAACAGGCAGAGGGAGATTCCAAAGCAGTGGTGGACGTCACCTGTTTCTCTAAGTATGAGATGGCGCCACTAGAACGCACCGCAGTGCCTGTGCCTGCCCTTGTACCCAGGTGTGTGTTTCCTTCCAGGAGGTACAGACCGGAAGTGCAAGGTGGATTTAGTGCTGCAGGAATTAGGGCCTCATGCCGTTAAAGAGACAAGCCACAGCCAGCTACTGCCTGTATTGCTTCTTGCCTGGGTGTACTTGTGGCCTGTAGAGGCACAGATATATCATCAACATAGCTCTTTTCTGATATTGTGTATATTACACAAATGAAATTCTTTCCAGAAAAAATAATGCAGCCATTAGCCATGTAGTTGCTCCTTCCTTATGGAATGTATCACTGGATGGAGGGCTAGAGCCCAGTAATTATACTGGTTGGTATCCTTTTCTTCCTCAGTATTCTGCTAGGACACAGAAGGGTGGGAATACAATCCCGGACGCAGCTGACATTCTTGGGCGAATGGGGTGGCATAAAAATGTTTTAATAAATAAATAATAAATACTGGAACCATAAATTGCTACCGGAACCATAAATTTACTACTTAGCGTATAAGAGAATTTTAGCATCAGAAAGTCCCAGGTAGGAAATACAATCTGGGGCAAGATACATGATCAAAGTACAGACGTGCACAGACAGTTCATAGTATTTGCCACTACAATTCATGTGAAAGGATTAGCAAGTACAGAATGTCCTGACACAATTTGTCAGAAAAGGTAAGGCAATTTTTAGATTTAACATTGAGAGGTTTTACCGTGGAATTCACTGAAACCATTCCTAAAAACTTCCACACTTAGGGTGCAACCGTATGCATCCATTAATTCCCCATCAAATATATTTTCAAAGATCTTTTTAGAGAAATTAATCACATGAAGAAAAATAGCTCCTTCCAATTGCAGGCAGTGGTTTTCCAATATGATTGCAAACTGGCAGTGGGAGGAAAAAAATACATGTATTCTTGTGTGCATCTACATGTTTTCTAGAAAGGTGGGAAGGAAGGCTGAGAAGGCTCCCTCATCCCACACACCAGGATGTCCCCAATGAATTGAAACTTCTGACCATGGGATGGAAACCATGATGGCTGGGAGTGAGAAGCACCAACAAAAAACAAAATGCTCTGAGGTCATAGCCTTGGAGGATTTTTCCTGAACAATCCAGTGACCCCTGAGACCATAGGATAGCTTTTGTGCTGACTGAGTATGGTATTCTTGAAGAAATGGATATGTACAGATTTCCAAGGTCTAAATTGTTCATATTCTTTACAACCATCTTGCAACGCAGCCCATGTTCAAAGCACTTTGGCAATTAGATTAGCCTTGGCAGCATTCTGCAAACCATTTTTCAGAACCAGTCCCTTTTTCACCCCTTCATAACACAGTGCTCCCCCAGTAGGTCCTACTGGCCACAAGAGGGTTGCCTTGTTTTGTTTGTCCTGTAGGCCTGGGCCCTGAAACGTTTTGGTACCTAGCACCACCCTGACACACACTCAAGGAGGATCGTGTGGTCACAGAATTGAAAAGTAGCTTGCTGATGATTAATCCAATTCCCTGCTTGGTGCAGGAAATCCAGAGCAAAAACTTCCCCCAATAACAGGGGTCTAGCCCCTGCTTGACCATCTCCAGGTAACTAATTCCATTGTCAGACTGCTCTTGCCATGAAGGTGCTTCTCATAATGTCCAACCCAAATTGAGTCTCCTGAGCTACCAAGTTTTGATTGGGAAAGCATTAACCAAAGCAACCCCGTTGTTCCTTTGACATCAGTCATGATGATTGTTGCACAAGTGGTCTAAATTTATTTTAATAAGAAGAATAAGGGTACTGCTTCGTACAAGCAATCAGTAATTAAAGGGTAGTCTAACACAGGTGGCTCTGCATATAATTATGAGTGGAAATGGAACCAAGTAAAGCATGTACTTCAGTGCTCAGCTGCCACTCTAATTGAATGCAGCTAAACTCCAACACACAGCTAAACTCTTTTTTCAGGTCACCACTTGAATATTACATTTTTAATTCCCATCACTGTAAGCAGCAAACATGCTGCTGCTATTGCTATTTTTCCGTTTCTCCTCTGGCTGCTGCCTTGTAAAGTGCCTCCACAGCTACAGCTGCAATCCACCTCGGGTCCACTGGAAATGGTTTCTAAATGTTATGCCTGCCAGGTGGCCTGCTGCCATATGAAAATACTTTCTGGCAGCCTCCATGTGGAGCTTGTAATCTTTAAATTGGTCCAGAGCAATGCTGTGGAAAATCGCTGCAATCCTTTTTGGCAATCTATGTTGGCTGTCACCAAAATGCATATAAATACCTTCAGGTTGCATGGTGAAGAAAGGGACTTTGTAAGACCGTGTGGTGGAGTGCAGAAGGAAGCAGTGCTGAGCTCAGGTCACATGCTAGTCTTCTGATTGCCTTGTAACTCTTGCCCTATTGGCAAGCAACCTTTTGTTGTGCCAGGAGCTGTATTTATTCCTCTAGCATTAGTTAAACTTAAGTACAATCTGTTTCAATCGATCTACTCTAAGTAGAACTAATATTGGAATATAAGGGACCAGGGGTCTCATTTAGTAGAACAGATGAAGGGGGACATGCCAGATACGGTGCTATCAGTTCAATATTTTCTGATGAAAGGAGGGAAAAAATAAGTGGAGAAGTTAATACGAAAGAAGTCATATTTAGCACATATTCAGAAGTCTCCTAAGCAACCATAGTGAGCTTTTCTTAGCTGTTTCCTTAACTGTCTCACAACCTTATCCAAAATAAAGTAAGTGAATTTCCTTTCCCCTTAACTCATGATTTGTGGAATTTCTTGCACGCTTCCTTTTTCTTGTTTCCATTGTTAAACTATTATTTCAAAATAAAATCCCAAGTTAGGAAAAAGGAAATGAAGGGAGGAAACAAGAAGAAAATCTCAGCTTATTTTGCTATGCTCTATTCTGCTTTTTTGTAAGACCAACCCTGTAGTGGACAGGATATAAAAGTTGTAAATAAAGAAAGAAATTGCTAAACTCTTTCAGGTAATTCTCTAAATCAGGGGTGGGAAGAAAGTAGATTGGGATCTACAGGTAAATCTCTTAGTATTTTGTAACAGATTAGCAAGGGTTTCTGAATACAGATTGTTTAAGAATAGCAGGAAAAAATGATCCCTATCTAAATTAGGCTGCTGAAACAAAGTAAGTTTGGGTAACCCGGAGCAAAATTCTGTGTGAAAGGGTTGTGAACCCAATTCAGTTCTGGTAATGTAGACAAATTCTTAGGTTCCAAGATTCTTTAATTCTGCAGGTAGGCATTTTGCACCCAGCTCTAATTGAGGACCTTGAGGTTTTGGTTGCAAAATATTTTTTTTATAAAATCCTGCAAGGCTGCAGTCTGCTCACCCTGTTCTAAAGTTCTATCTGTGTCAACATTTCTAACTTGCGTGTAGATCACTAGATGGCACTCAAAGTACTTCTTTAAATGTCTGTTTGAAGTTTACATTCTGCAAATTTTCTATTTCTTGGAGAACAGCTGTTTTCAAATTGTTACTGTGATGAATCTTATTCAAGGCACCCCTTTGCCCTTACAAATGAACCTGGACTGCAAAATAAAATTAGCAGCCTTCATTTGTGGCTTTCCTTTATTTCTTGTCTTTGTTATTACCAGTTCAATTTGGAACAAGAGATACACTGCAAAGAAATCAATTGAACAAGGAATATATGAGAAATTACAGCAGTTTTGCCACTGCCCCCTCACCCATCTCATAGCAGTTTGGAAAAACCAAACATTATTGAACAATATAGTAGATTAGAACTGAAGGCCATTCTGGCTGCTCCTTCTGTCCTTCCATTCTGCCCACTCCGAGAGGTACAAAATATTTTATTGCCTGAAATACTAGCAGGAAAAGAAATGGTGTGTGGGCAGGGGGGATCTCTCAGGATAACCTTGAATAATGCCCATAAAAATCTTTAGTTTAGTCTCCAAGTATTCATGTTTAACAAAAATTGCAGCAAGATTCCATCAACATTCTGAATCCACTGGTCAGCCTCTGCCCTGTCTAGTTTTCCAACACTGCAAAACAAGTCTCAGCTTAGAGAATCTGCTGCAACCAATTCAAGTGAGTTTGCGTTTCTACAAATCCATCATGTGGATCTCATAGCTTTTCTGAGTCATGTAGTTCCTGTGGACCAATATTTCACATGACCATTCATGCGCAGTAGCTAGTGCACATCAGCACATAAATGCAAGAGCATATTAATGCAAATGCAAATTAGCACAGGTAGAACAAAATTCTCATCCAAAATAAATCCGCTTTTGTCAGTGAACGGATGATGGAATGAGAGGCACCTGACAAGCCACAAAACACAGATGGAGTGAATGTAACAAAATCTGCAAACTGCTAGTTTCAGCTTCCAGCATAACTCAGAACAGACAAGCTTTTGATCGCTGTTCAGCCCCTGTAGGTGTGGAATGATACTTAAAAGTACTTGTGTGGGTTGCCAGGGGTATGGCAAATGCAGAGTCATGCAAACGTGCACCAAGAATGGTAAGATCACCTTGCACTACAAAAGAAGGAAGAGATGGGTTGGCTGCATTCAACCTCCATCAGCAACATCTGCCAGAATGCATCATCTTTGGCACATGAAATGAGTCGCAGACCACTCACAGTGCCCAAAAGATTTCCTTTTGGGTCAGGCAGAGGCGCAGAACTAAGCCTGGCTGCCGCCACTACTCACCAAAAGCACTGAACCCGGATCATCAGTTCTGCAATTCTCTTCCATTTGGACCCGCAGCATTTTTTAAAGCCAAGATGGGCAACTTATCACCCTCCAGATGTCTTGGCTCACAACTTCCATGGCCCTTCACCATTGGCTGTGCTGGCTAAGGCTGATGGTGGTTGTAGGCCAACATATATTATTCATGTTTTATGTAAAATATTTCTGGGCTGCTTTTCAGGGTAAGAGGCCCAAGCAAAATAATACATTTGAGGATCTTTAATAACTGCAAGGAAGGGGTATGGTAGAGCCTAAGCTGGTAAAATGTATTCTGAGGCCACTGGGGTTTCCCAGCTAGTACCGAGTCCAGAAGACTTCCTGGTCACACTCTTGTGGCGGAATCCAACGAGGCGCTTACAGCTCTGCTGGTCCTTTTTTATCCAGCCAATTTCCTTCGGCCAGCAGTGGGCCCCACTAGTTCCAGTGTGCAAGCAGGGCACGCTGCCTGTGCAAAGGAGCTTTGGCACTTCTGGGGGGAGGCTGGAAATAAACCAGGTTCAATTGGGATGCCAGGAAGTACTTCCTGACAGGACCCCTAGGGTATGGAGTGGGCTTCCATGGGAGGTGGTTGTCCCATCGGTGCGGGTGTTCAAGGATAGGCTGGGCCTGCACATGGTAGGCATGTCATGAGCGGAGCTGGCTGGAGCTGAGGGTCAGACTAAATGGCCCAGGAGACCCCATCTGACTTGCTCTGTTTCTGTGTTTCTAAGTGGAAACATTCATTTCTGGGGGGAGGTGGGTTAGCAGAGCTCCATATGCCAACTCTGCTGACCTTTCTCTTTCATGCATGAGCATTTTCTCTCATTTCTGGTTGCTGTGGAAGTGCTAAATCGCCATTACACAAGAGGTGGGGTCCAGTTGAACAACAGAATTGGTGGGGTATAAGAAAATATGCAGGAATATAAGTACCCCCATTGGATTTTATCCTTGGTTTTTTAGGGGAGTGTGATCCCATCTAACTATAGGAGTAAACTTCCATTCAGAATAGTTGGTTTCCCAAACCGCAGCACCTCTGGCTTTTCTGGATTAAGTTTCAGCTTGTTTACCTTCATCCATCCCAAGCAGGCTCCAGACAGTAGTTCACAAGTTCAGCCAGCTGCAGGGATGTGTAGATGGAAACAAAAAGTAGAGTGGAGTATCATCCACGCATACTGGCAGTTCAGACCAAACCTCCTGTGACTTTTCCCACAGTTACATGTGGATATTAGAAACCGTGGATGACAGGATGAAACTTTGTGGCACTCCACAAGCTAATGGCCACAGCATGGACCAAAAGTCCCTCAGGCCCACCTTTTGAGACCACTGTTCTAGGAAGGACCAGGACCACCATAAAAGTGCACCTCCCAAACCTAATTCCAGACAAAGTGCTTCAGACTTATTTAAGCAATTCTTCATGGTTGGCCTTGATGTTCTTCATGAGATGCTCCTCAAAATGCATCTCTGCTTGCATGGGCTTTGAGTAAGCTCATGTTCTCATTTATTGTCCCCATTTGAGCAAGAATTCTGTTTTCTGAAAGCAGCCTTTCCTAGATCAACCACTTTGACTTTTCCTGTTAATTGTGCTAGCGACCTCTTAGTCTGGATGCTATTTTTCTCAACTTGTGGTATAAATTGTAACTGAGCTTTTGTCATGTGGTTTTGAGTAACATTCAAACATTTTATTTAAATATGTATAAAAGCCACCCTATTAGCATTATGCTGTCTAGGCACCCATTACAATAAAAATCAAGAATAAAATTAATAAAATGATACAGTTTAAAGTTATAAATAAACACAATAAGACACAATATATACAAGCAACACAATGTGGATTAATAAAAATTAATGAATAAAATTAAAGTTAAAACCAGTGCTCTGAATAAATATACCTTTAGCTAAGGTGTCCAGTGCACTGTCTGGTTCTAGTTTGTTCGATGAGATTCTGTTGTTGAGGTCTAAGGATGTGGACAAAGTGCTTGGACTGGTTCAGCCCACTACCTGTATGCTCGACCCTTGCCAATCTTGGCTAGTTGTTCAAGGTAAGGAGGTCCTGGAGGCTGTGAATGCCTCATGAAGAGAGGGAGTGGTCCCAGCCTTATTAAAAGAGGCTGTAATGAGACCAAAGAAGGCCAACTTGGACCTGCAGGGGCATGAACCACTACAGACTAGTCGCTAATATTCCCTTCCCAGGCAGCTGCTCAAGTGGGTGCCGGTTGTCCAACTCCAGGCAATCTTCAATGAAACAGATGATCTTGATCCATTTCATTTGGGATTCAGACCTGGATTTGGAATGGAAACTGCCTTGGTGGCCCTCAGGGATGACCTATGCCAGAAGAGGATCAGGGGGAGTGCAACCCTGTTGGTTCTCCTGGGCCTCTCAGCGGCTTTCAGTACCATTGATCATGGTATCCTTCTGCACAGGTTGGTCAAGCCAGGAGTGGGAGTCAGTGCATTGTGATGGCTCTGCTCTTACTTGTTGGACCATGTCTAGAAGGTAATAACGGGGGATTGTTGCTCTGCACCATGACAGTTATGCCATGGAGTGCTGCAGACCTCTATCTTATCCCCCATACTCTTAAACATCTAAATGAAACTGTTGAGAGAGGGCATTAGGTGGTGTGGGCTGAGTTGTCATCAACGCTCACCTGATGACACTCAGCTCTACCTTTATTTTTCATCTGATAGAGGTGTGGTAGTGAATGTTCTAAACTGGGCTCTGGCCTCGATAATGGATTAGGTGAGGACTAATAAACTGAAATCTGATCCAGATAAGATGGAGTTACTGTTGGTGGGAGGATCAGCTGTTCAGATGGAGCACATTTTGCCTGTCCTGGATAGGGTCCCACTCCCCCTAAAGGACAGGGCTCACAGCTAGGTGTGCTCCTGCACCAGGAATTCCAGGTAGATTTGGTGGCCGAGAACGCCTTCTATCAGCTGAGCCTGATATATCAGCTGTGGCCATATCTGGACAGACAGGACCTGGCACCAGTCATCCACGCACAGGAAACCTCACCCCTGGTTTATTGCAATGCACTTTACGTGGGGCTTCCCTTGAAGAGGGTCCAGAAACTTGAATTGTTCCAGAATAGGGCAGCTGGACTGCTAATGAGAACTGGCAAATATGATCATATAAAGCCAGTCCTGTACCCTCTCCACTGACTGCCAGTTGAAGTCTGGGCCCAATTCAAGGGGGTAACATTAGTGTTTAAAGCCCTAAATAGCTTGGGTAGGGTAGCTTAAGGAGCACCTCTTCCCATATGAACCTAACTGGCCCCTTTGATCTTCATCTGAGGCCCTTCTGAGGGAGCCCCTTGCTCAGGAATTATGGAGGGCCTTCTTAGGGGTGGCACCCTGACTGTGGAATGAGCTTCCCAAATTGGTTTACCTGGCACCATCTTTATACTCTTTTTCGCACCAAGCAAAGACCTTTTTATTCCATTGGTATTTTAATTGTTACATCAGCTTTTAATGGTATTTTAATCAAAGGAGATATATCTTTTATGAAACAAGGGGTTGTGTGCTTTTATTTTTGTTAATATTTTTTTATTGATTGTGGTCTTTATATTGTCTTTATATGGTTTTTATTGTTGTAACCCACCCAGGGAGCCATGTGGCTAATGGGGTGGGCAATAAATAAATAAATAAATAGTTTTTGTAGTGCCATGGGTGCATCAAAAGAGAAAGTTTTTTGTCAGGCACTTAAAACTCAATAAAGTAGGCATCTGACAAATCTCCAGTGGCACAGAGTTCCACTGTTAGGGTGCCACCACAGAAATAACGTGGTCCCAAGCCCTTTAAGGCTTTATATGTCATAGTCAAGACCTTGAATTCAGCCCGGACTGGAACAGGCAGTCAGTCCAACTGATGGAAGACCAGTGTAATGTGTTCATAGAATTGGCCCTTGTCAGCCACCACACTGCTCTGTTTTGGATCATTTGAAGAGTCTGGACTGTCTCTCTCCCAGCAAAGATCATCCCACAGAGTAACCCTCTCAACTCCCATTTTCAAGTTTCTTCTAAATAACCCTGCATTTTTTTCCTAGCTTGAAGAATAGCACAGTTGGGCTGGGGGTGGGGGGAAACGATTACGAAAATAGCATAAAACAAAGTATTCATGTACACCTTTATACCATCGCAACAACAAAAAGTAAGGCTCCCTGCAATTGCATTATTGTTCAAATAAGGAGATTTGATGCTGGATCTCTTGTGTCACATCTGTATAACCCCTAGAAGCCCAGAGTCAGGAGAAGTTACAAAGCTTCAAACAGAAATTGAGAACTGTCAAAAGGCACACTCAGCACTTGCAAACTCAAGATAAAGTGATGAGTATTCAGATATGCAACATTATTGGAGCCCAGGAACTCTAAGCATGTTGCACATACCAGTTCTTCAATGGATCGTGATTCATATTTGTATAGGTGAGTGACTATTTATTGTTGTCTTCAAATATAACTATCATAACAAAATAGGTGCTGGGTTTTTTTTCCAAATTTCTTGTGGGTGGGGAAGGTGAAATTCTATTCACTTAAGGACCCACAAAAGAGAAATAAAAGCCAATAATATGTTCCCTTTAAAAGAAGTTATAAAATTGTAAGTGGCTGAAAAGTAACATCTTGGAATTCTGTGTTTTGGTTGTAAGATAATTTTAAGAACACTTCCAATGAAGTCTTGGAGGACAATTAAGCTCTTTTATGAGGACATTTTTCTTGACTCCATGGAGAAGTCAATTTTACTCATGTTTTAAATGGCTGCTATCAAGTGTTACTATCAGCTCAGGTGCTTCCAAACAAGCCTTCTATTGTTCCATCATCCTGCCTCCTTCATGATATTGTTGTCATCTTTGATTTGTAACTCTGCTGTGCTTTCTGATGGCTGCTTCCATCATTTTCTTACTACAGGAAGTCTTTTAAGAAAGAAAAAGCAGAATAGTGACCTACATAATGACCTTGTTTGCACATAGTGAGAACCCAGAATACAGGCTAGGGGTTCTTGTTGAATTGTGAGTTGTTGAAAATGGATTATCATCACAAGCTAGCTTTGCACCATGATTTGTTTTCCTTATCATGACTGTCCTAGAGGATATCTCCATAGTAGCTCAAAGTTCTAATTTAAAGTTCTAGTTCAAACAATAATAGTTCTAGAGTAACTCACAAGGCAATTCGAGGCAATCCAAACCTTTTGAAAATTTTGGTTCCAGATTCTTCCTCCCTGACAACCAGAGCAGAAGTACACTTATTCCTAAGTTCTACTTAGGTGGTTCATTTGAAGAACAACCTTTACTTCCCTTGTTTCACCTCTTAACCCCAGTTCAACATTTGCAGTTTCTAGCACTGTTTGCATCCTGTTGGAAGAAAGAAAGGCTTACTCCTTGGAAGTTTGTGCCTTATTTTGGGGATTTTTAAAGTGCAGAATTGGATTTTTCAAGGATTTAACAAACAATTAGGTGCTACTCCTGCCATTTAGCACAGCAGTGTTCTTTTCAGATATGTTCTAGGCGAAGCGCGACCATCTCTCTTTGGATATCTTAGCCTGTGGGCCTGTTAGACGTTGGAAGATCTCCTTGTATTCATGAATTTTTGTCATTTTTCCATTGATTTCAATGTGAGTGGGAGCACGAACAGATATTTATTGAATGGTATTTGCAATGCAGCCATAACCAAAGTTGTTGTTGTTGTTGTTGTTGTTTTTAATAATGGCACATAGATTTCTTATTCATTTCTTATTCTTATTCAACATTATGTGAAGGAGAAGCTTTTTGGTCAATGTTGGCTTTGCTATGATGGGCCAACGGCCATGCTTTCCATCCTATTGCTGCTGCTTTGCCCTCCTCCAAGTAATTATTTTGCCTGAATAGTCACGATGGCATGACTTGAATCTAAAACTCCAAATGCAATGCCTAAAGAGTTGAAATATCATCCCAATAACACATCTGGCAGCAAAACGGTGTTGTCCTAGCATTGCATGAAAATTACAAGGGACCATCTGGAGGAGTTTCCACATCTTGCCTGGGAATCTTGCCAAGAGGAAATGACATTCACAGATCTCAGAAGAAGAGCTCCTCAGCAGAATCAAGGCAAAAGCATTTGATGCCTGCAGCCTTCTTTGGGATAGCGAAGTTACATAGGGATTAAAATCACAAGATCGTTTTGCCGCTTCAACAACCAGGCACAGGAATGGAGGTTCTCTGTGTCATTTGAGCTGCCACAGGCATTGTACTGACCCCTGTGTCCTCTACTCAGCAAAATGCTAGCAGTTACTCCATACAGAGGACAAGAAATGTATGGAATATAAGTAGTTTAGGGGAGAGGAGGTTATAAAAGGATGCCAGGCAATGCTACGAATACTCTGCTTCCCTGACCCTACTGAAGGCAATGAAGTTAATCAGGGAATCTGTGCCACCCCATATGACTTTCTTTTACTGGTGTGGCTTGAGCAGAAGGCCAAGTATGAAAGAGGCTTTGCATTCCATGCACTGCAAGGGGCGCCATGATGTCCTCTCCGAGCACAGGGTTCTTTAGTTATGCTCAGTACAAGTCACATTTCCATTGCTAAGGGATATTGTCAGTGGACATAGACAGCTCACCTGGACCAGGCTGCCAGGATGATGCAGGAAGGACTGGAAAAGCTGAAGGGAAAGGGCAGAAACAGGCAAACAGGCCAGGCATGATGAGTCCCAGAAGCGACTGTGTGGAGATCGAAAGGGCTGGGCTGTAGGGGGCTCTAAATAGGACTCACTCCATGGCTGGGCAGGCACTGGCCACCTTCACTCATACGAGCCTGCCAGGGTTTCAAGGCCTTAAAGGAGAGAAGGAGGCCCTTTCCTCAGCCCCACAGGCATCTTTGTTGACTCCCTCTGTGGTCCTTTGCATACAGGAAGGCATTTTTATACAAGCAAGCCTTAGGCACATAAGCCGGTCGCTTGCTGAAGCTGGTTTTAATTCTGAAACACCCAATGAACCTTTCCCTGCTTCCCCTGCCCCCAGTCAACACTCCATGCTTTTGCAACTCTTTTAGCATTCCATGTGTGTTAGAAACAATGGAAACTGTTGGGTAACCCGCTCTTTTTTTTTTTTTTTTTTAAGAAAGGATGACTTTCAAGCCATTTCATTTCAGAAAAGCAAGATCACATATTATGAAGTGAAATGTTCTTGACTATTTCCTCCCTTCTTTTCTTCCCAGGGTGCACCGTATCTCAAATGGTAATAAGAGGAGTGGTGGGGCAGGCGGTCACTCTGCCTTGCACCTACGATGTGAAAAACAGCAGGGAGCTTCATCCCGTGTGCTGGGGCCGAGGGAGTTGTCCAAATTCGAAATGCAGTAATGAAATCCTCCATACGAACGGAAGGCAGGTGACCTCACAAAGCTCATTCAGATACAATCTAAGGGGAACCGTGGTGAGGGGGGACGTGTCCCTGACCATAAGAAATCTGAATGAGCGAGACAGAGGACTCTACTGCTGCCGCATTGAAATCCCGGGCTGGTTCAATGACTTAAAAAAGACCTTGAATCTTCAGGTTGACAGAGGTGAGTGGGATCTTTGTGATGCATCCTTTTCCCTGTCCTGAGGAGATTCTGGAACATGGAGGGAAGGCTTGGCTGCACCATCAGTAGGGCCAACCCGCAATTAGGCAGTGCGAAGCACCATCTTCTGGCAGTAGAGTTTGGGTGCTGTGAAAAGGCAGTGAATGGTTAAGTATTTCATGTATTCTCATCCTTATTCTGACAGGAATGAGAAGGCTTGTGAGCTTTCCTGTCTCACATGGCAGAATAACTTGGCTGGCTTTGGATGCTATCAATGTTCATTGGGGGGGGGGCGCCATTTGCTCTACTGCATCAGGGTGCAAAGTATTTGGGGCCAAATTTGACTATAGGCCTACTATAGGCTAAAGCTGACTTGGCCCTAGTTTGTACCTAATATTAAGCTATAGACTAGGTTCACACAACATGGCCAGACGTGTACTGTCTGAGTGTGCATTGCCATTGCCTGTTGTTGACTATAAGCTGTGTTGTGTGAAGCCAACTGCACCAATGAACCATGGAATATTAACCACAAACAGCTCACAGAGTGAACCCATAGTTGTTGTTGGGCTCTGAACTCTGGGTTGTTCATGACTGACAAGCCATGGTTTGATAGCACAATTGGATTCACACAATACAACCACCCCGATTGCACAATACCCCACACTGAATGCATGTTCATTCCATTTTTTGGCTTCACATGTTGTATGCAACAAGTCAGGGCGTGGTTTGTTGAAATACGTCTGAATCCATTCCTGCAAACATACCATGGTTTGTTAACTAGCTATAAACCACACAGAGAAACCAATGGTTTCTTACTGGATTATGAAGTCTGGCTTATTTACATCACTGCTTGTTGTAATGTCTGAACCCAAAATTGTGGCTTATCCTCAGCTTGTCCAACCTGAAAAAAGATTCATCCAGCAAAAGCAGCCTGAAAATGAAACCTATCTGAAGGCTGAAAAAATATGTGGGGGAGGAAAACAAACCAGAAACAGGGGAAACAGGTCTGCTTGCCTGTAAGATAATATATAGCTAAAGCAATGTGAAACTTGTATGTGTAACCCACTCATAGTTAGCAGAAGACCTAAAGGATCTGTGTTAAAATATATGGAAACCAGAGCAGGTTCTGTTGTCATGGCTTACAGTTTCAGCTGGAGTGCTTTAAAGAAAGGCAAATCTTAGCTAAAAATAGAAACTGAAAGCTAACTTCATATTGAAGTCACCATTCAATATGTCCTCTTTTATCTTTGCTTGTTTTACTGGGCACAATGCCATGGCTTACCTGGATGAGGTTATTTTTACCTGCTTGACAGAAAGCTATATTTCTCTATATGAGATGCAATTTTCCTTTGTACAACTGCCACCTTGAGTTTATTCAACTGCATTGGCTTTGTTACATCAGGGATGATCGTTTCTGTGTAAGATTTAAGATTAATAAGAAAAACTTAGGTAGTAACTTCAGCATACAGCAGTACAGAGAACACCTAATATTCAACAGAATTTTACATGTGAAAACTGCCCTAAATATATAGTTTACACCAACATAGGAAAAGCAGATTAGTCTACAGCCTCAACAAGGGGGTGGGGGGAACACTGTGTTGGCTATCAGAAGCCCATGTTTAAAATTCTCTGGAATTTACTCCCTAGGAATATATGGCTGGTGCCAACTCCTTTAGGATACCAGTGAAAACTTTATTTAAACAAGTTTTTAGTTAATTTAATTTAATACTTTTATATTTTGTTATGGATTATTTATTTTAATTTTGGTTAATTTACTGGTTTTGTTCATTGGTGTGAATGGGCATATTTTATTATGAGATTTTGTCTATTATTTTATTGTTTATTTTATCCGATTATTGTTTTATTGTATCTTATGTATGTTTCTATGCTGTTTTAGCATTTGTAAGCCACCCAGAGAACCATCAAGTTATGGGGCAGCATAGAAATGGAATGAAATAAATAAATGAAATGATTTAGTTAATTTATTTTAATGTTGCTCAGTGTGGAATAGTTAATTTATCTTATTTTATTGAAGTTCTGAAATAATGTTGTAAGCTGTCCAGACAACAGTAATGGGCAGCATACAATTTTTAAAAATAAATAAATAAAATGGCTTGAAATATGATAGTTCAAAAATAAAAGGGAAGAAATAATGGGTGGTGACATACTATTGACTTAGTTTTTTCATGCATTTTGTATTGGGAAATGTGGTATAAGTGACTATGCCTTTTAGCACAATCCTAGTATATCTACTTAGAAGTAAATCCAGAGGGTTTACTCCTAATGGATGAATTCAATTACTTCCAAAGGATGGATTCAATTACTCCCAAGTCAGTACCTCTAGGATTGGAGCCATATTGATTATTTGGTGATGGCCACAAAATTATTCCTGCTGATATATATGTCTGAGTACACAGGTAACATTTGTCCTGATAAGGGATGAGAAGTTGAATATAAACTATTCTCTCCTCTCTGTTTTGATATACAAAGCCCCAGCAGGTCAGATTTGCACCTGGAATAGATGGAGGCAAGAAAGGGCTTGTATAGGCATGGCTGTTAATCCATTGTGTTTGTTTTCTCTATAGAGTTGGGAATGGAACATTAGACAAGGAAAGTTTCTTTTCTTGTTTTTCCCTATGTTATCCCTAGCTGGATTAAAGTATAGCAGAATAAATCAAATACAAAAGTGGAAACAGCATTTTCTCCCTATGAAATACCCTAATTTCCTTGCTCTAAAAAAGTCCCAGTGAAAGTGCTGTATACAAGCAGAAGTGAAACTGGAGAGTCATGCTCTTTCCTAAAGAACTCCCAAACAACTGTGAGTAGACAATGATGAGTGCACAATAAATGCTTCATACACAAAAGCTCAAAAGCTGCATAAATAAAGCTCCATTTTGATCATTTAATATTTTTGATTGGTCCATCCTAGGGATTGGTTCTTTCCATCCATGGAAAGCTTTTGATCCAGTGCAACATGAACAGGAGAGGAAACGATCTTAATTAATTTAATGCTCCCTCCACAGTCCCAGTAATTCCCGTTCTTCAGTCTGCTCCCGAGGGGAGGAAGATGTGCTAGATGTGGTGCTGGAGTCTGCAGAGGGAGATGGACATTTCCAACAATTGACTCCCCCTTTCCACTTCCACTAGCAGCGGTCAGCCCTCCATCTAGTCAGTGCTTCAGTGGATGACAAAGAGCTTTATGTAACACTATTTTTCAGCAGTTTACCTTTCAGTCCACTGGTTTTGGAAGTGCCATGTTTTGACTCCATAGATAGTGTTCTTATACATAATTTTGTTCTTTTGTTACAGCAACAACCACTGTCCCTACCACAACTAGAACCACCAAATCTCATATGACTACCACAACTACCATGGCACCCTTAACATCCATGGCACCCTTAACATCCATGGCACCCATGGATACTCTGACATCTCCTGTTCCAAGAAGAACAGGCCCTGCTCCACCACCAACCTCTACTGGCACCAGTGTTCCAACAATGGCCCCATCTTCTGTAGCAACATCCGCCACCCTACTTACAGCAGCTTCTTCATTGGCCAACATGAGTCCATCACCAACTACGCTTCAGGATGAGACAACCAAATATAGCCGGAGTTTTTTTACCACTGAAACTTATACCCCTATTACAGGTACCATACTTTCTCTTCCTTTCAGTCTGATATAAATGGATTAACTTGGGAAGAAGAAAGCTTCCCAAACTAAAACAGAAACTCTATTGTTGCAAGATTTTCCTTCTCCAAGAGGAAGAACTCCCTGATTTAGGAGTACCTCCTTTTTTTACCTCAGAACACCTCATTCAGACTCTGTGACATTCCCAGGAGGCTGGAGGAGCTTGTTGTCCTAGCTTAAATCCAGATCCAGTCCTCCAGGAGCAGGAGCAAACCTTTCATGAATAGCTGGAAGATGTGCAGAGAATAAGAACTGTGCCCAGTGTAGGCCTCTTGGATGCTTTTACTAGCACTACCATTTGCACTGCTGAGGAAGAAGAAGCATTTTGGTTGAAGTGAAAAGCAGGTTGCTATTCCACCATGTGGCAGAAAGAATCATATCTCACTTTCCTCAGCAGTTTCTCCTATTATATGATTAGGTGTTTGGTTGGTGGGGAATGGAGAGGACTGAACCCAGCCCTGTTCTTTCTCACCCACCAATCAGATTAGTATAAAGACCTCCATGTGTGCGGCTTCTGTTGTTGGACCAGAAAGGAAAACAGCATGTGCAGCATCCATTTGCAAGTATAATTCCACACTGGAAGTATGAATTCCACACATCTACAGCCCCTGACCGGATTGGTGTAAAAGTGTGTGTGTCTCTCTGTGTGGTATCTTTCACAAGCTATTTGTGAACATTTTGCTTAGAGTTTCTGCTGCTGGAGAGAAATCAAATAATACAGGATTGCTCAGGCTGTGGGAGTTAGCTAATGCTATCATCTGAGCAGCATCTTGTAACTGCCATGTAAAGACCAAGGCCAAATTCAACCAGCGAATTTCAGCACCACCCATATAAAATACAGGTTAGAAGGAGAAAACAGAAAATACATTTTGTTTGCTAAGTGACCCAACTAATATGTGTACCCAGTTGCTCTTGTTCAGCATGTAATTCCTCCACAAAAGTTAATATATTTAGCTTTTGCAATTGCCATTACCCCGCGGTTTCATTTAAAAAAAGAAAATCTAAATCCCCACATTTATCTGATAACAGAGACCAGAGCAGGTGATGAGAAGTTTCTCTTTAATGGATTTGACTGTATTTGACTGTTGAGATGTTGCCTTTTGTTTCGCAGCTGAACCTTTCCCTGCTACAGTGCCGGGCACTGAGGAGACGGCGGACGTTGACAACTGCACCATCTCAAGTAAGGGCTGGTCTTCAGCACTGGCTCCAGGCAGGCCCGGTGTGGCACCTGTGCAGGCTGCCTCTCCGCTGAGGCAGGAGGGACCTTGTGCTCCTGGCACTGACCCTTGCCACTGCATCCCGCTCCCCTTCCCCTTCCCCTCACTTCTGCCTCTGCCATAGGACTCCATGCGGAGCCCTAGCACTGTCAGTGGTGCCCTCGGGGCTCCTGAGAGAACCTCACAGCCGCTCCTTCAGCTGCCCACAGAGCCAGCACGATCCCAAAAGCGATGCGGGAAGCTGCTTCTCAGGGCTCTGCCAGCTGCTCCTTTGCCAGGGCAGATGGCTTGATGAGAGACTGGCTGGGTGGGCACTCCGGTGCATCTACTGGAGGCGGCAGGGCAGAGGCAGTGGGGCCTCCTGGCAGAGCACTGGAGGGGAGGCACAGTTCATTGCCTTTCCCATGCCACTGCCTGAGATGGGCACCTCACTGGGCTTCATGGGTGGACCAGCCCTGGGAGTTTGGATTTTCTGGTGCATAGTTGGTGTTGGCCATGATACAAGGCAGCTTTCTAGTTTACATATTGGTTTACAGTGTGTGGTCTAATGCACTGGGAGGACACCAGGTAGCAAAAGGCTCTTTGGGTCATATGTTACCAGCTGAGAAACATTTCTGGGCACGCCTCATCTGGAATGACTAGAAGGTTGTCACAGTCCTTTTGGACCTCAATAAATTTAGCCCCCTGACATATCAAACTGCTACGGTAGCAGATTGTGGAGAAGCAAATTCCATGAACATTCTGCCTCCCCCCAAAAACCCTCCCTTTTGATGTAGTGTAGCTGTTGTGAAGGGCTAGAAAACTGTCACAAGGGGAGGGGAGGGGAGGGGAGGGGAGGGGAGGGGAGGAAGGCAAGGAGGGAGGGATGGAGGGAGGGAGGGGGGCATCCCTATTGCGGTGGCAAGCAGACCAATACTGAATGGCTGCAGTCTTGCCATGTGTATTTGTTGAGGTAGAATATGGATGGGGTTATAGCTGAATGCACACCCATGGAATGCATTACAGAAAGATGATATCCTCATTTGTTTCTGCCCCTGAATATGGATGCTCTATCCAAATACATATCCCAGGCTTGTTCCTTCCCAAGCAACAATCTGTAATGAGACACAACAAGAATGGCCATGAAAAATGGCAAGACGGGGAGCATCAGCTTACTTGCTTGGGCTAAGGAGCTGCGCTCTCTCTTCTTCCAAAATCAAAAACGCCCCAATGACAGGGCTGTGTATGCCCACAATGAAATGAAATACTTAACTATCCAAACCTGATGGCCGGTGTGCGCCATGGCAATGTAATCCCTGATGGGTTGGAATTATGCAGTGTGTGTGGGGAGGGAGGGGGGAGTGCCCAAACTGCAACAGATAAGATGAGAAACTAGCTGCAGACACACATGAAGAGACTACAGAAGCATGGCAGGCAAGGGATTTGATATTTTCAAGACCTCTGAACCAGCAACTTTTGTGCTGACAATTCAAGCTGATGTACATTTGGCATAGCATTAAAGTATATTACAGGAGATATGATTTACACCTGGCAATAACATTGCACAAGGAAATAATAAGCTGGAGTGAATGTGTTGCATATCAATTCAGCCCCAAATTGTTCAATTTAATTCTCCCAACCTAGAGAAACATTCTATTTATTTATTATGATTTTGAGTCACAGCCATGGATTTATGAGCCAGTTTCTGAGGGTACAATCCGGTGCATCTTTAGGCAGAAGCAAGTCCTACCATTCCACTTCAGAGCTGTAGGAAAAATTCTGTCTCAACATTTCCTTCAGGCTTATCTATTAGAAAATACATTGTGTAGTCTAAGGGGGCAATTTTGTTGTCTATTTCTTCCAGTTTCAATAGAAAGAGTTCTGATATATACTTGTATGTTGTTTTGTTACAGCGACAGCCTCATCCAGACATGTAACTTCTGCACTCCATGGGATGACCACACGTATGGCAGCTCCTGTAGCAACCACAATTACTCCCCCAATTACTCCTTTTCCCTTAATTATTTTTGCTTCTGTAGCAACCATGCATATTCAAACAATCACCTATCTTCTGTGTCAATATTCACTGTTTTTCCAATAACCGCATTTCTGTCAATATCACTTACCCAGCAGTCTCAGGGAAAGTGCACTGAAGATGGTTGCATCATATCAAGTAATATAAGAATCCCTTAGCAAGGGCTTTTAGGTAGTGATTTTAGACTCTTATCCTCTTCATCTTACTTCACTAACTTCAGACTGTGGCAAGCCAGCTCGGTTGAGTTTGGGGGTCTTCCTGCTCATTCTGCTAGTAAGACCTGGATGGACTGAATGGCCACTGGTAGCCATGGGGATGCCTCCACTTAGAGCTGCTGTTGCCACCATTTTTCAAGCAGGAGGCATCTGAGCTCCAAGCACCACCACAGGCTGCTTGGGGGGGGGGGTCTTTCCTGGGCTGTAGTGGGGGCCTCCTCTTCTCTCTGGGTCAAGCAGGAATGCTGCACACTGGATTTGGATGGAGGCCTTTGTGGACTTCTCTCCAGTTCAAAACACACTGGCCAAGCCATCAGTTGAACACAAGACTGGAAATTCAGCAGGCTCCCTTGGTCCTTGGGTTGAGATGTACCTCTTTCACATAGCTGAGAGAGTGTTCTGCGCTACTCAATTCCAAAAAATCTCCTAGTGCAGGTTCACATGTTGTGCTCTCTCTCTCTCTTTCTCTCTCCTGTGCATTCAAATTCTCCTCCACCTCCAGGACTTGTGAAAAACACCACAGGAGAAAGCCAGTCTGACTTCTTGTCATTTATCCTCCTTCCCCACACCACACCCAAGCCAACTGGTTGATTGTACCTGCATCCCCCTTCTTGCTCTCTAGCCACTGGCGCCCCACCACTCAAACCTCCTCCTACAGCCCAGGTGGACCGTGGCTTCCACAAACAAGGCAAGGCTATGCTAGCTAAGGCTGGTCAGAATAACCCCTCCAAAGTCAAACCTTGGTCTCCCCTGCTTTAAAAATGAGCTTTGGATGGCACATAGATGGTATGCCAAAAAATATACTGTATGCAGTCTATTTTAGGATATAGCATATTTGCTAAAATATCTAATGTAAGCAGCACCAGGTCGACTCTTTTAAACATAAGCAAATACAACAAATGTGTTCCTATAAGAGGTACAGACAGGTAAGCCAGACATGAAGGTGGCAAACCTGGGTGCCATAAGCTGGATTCTTTATAAAGCAAAGACCTTAGTCAAGTGTTCTATTTCTGGGCACTTAATCAAACACACAATGATGGAGTTCGGCTAGCCACTCCGCTGCTCTCTGCTCAGGCAGGGCAAGTTTCTGAAGAGGAGAGCCTCCTGCAATCTGGAACAGAGCTTTATCATGCCAAAGGGTGGGTGAAAGTGGGAAGGCCAGCCTTTTCCTTGCCCACATATCCCCTCATGAGCTTCATTCTCCCCTGCTGCTGTTTATGCTAGGGAGAGCATTCATGAATTGCCAAAAAAGAAGCTATACGCTTTGCCACAAATTTAGAACTATTGATTTTCTAACACAAACTCATTGCATTACATTTTACGCAATAACAGATAATTCATCTAATAAGAGATAAATATTGTTATTATGTCAACTAATAATTGAACATGATTATTAGAATTTAAACAGAAATAGAGCACACCGCGCCATAGTGTGAAGGAGGAGTCTGCAGCCCAGGTGTTAAAAACTGATGGGCAAGCATTCTGGTGGCTTTCTACTGTGAAACCAGAATTGTCTAGGATGGCTTTTCAGGGGGATGCCTGCAAAACATGACTGGTCCTCTGGTAGCCCTTCAAACATATGACTGTCCCCTGCAAAAGAAGGCACATGGCTAACTTAGTTTTTCTTCTGGAGGAACTATATGACTGGCAGCAAACCCCTCTCAAACAAGGTAGCAGGGGAAGTTTCATGGAGAAAAACACAGGCATTAAAAAACAAAAGCAATCCAGCAAGCAAACAAACCCAGATTACTCTCTTTCCAGCCATGCTCCATGTTAAATACGTCCTCTAGTCACCCTCCCCACTTTGTAGATTCAGCCTTTTAAGCTCAATTTCCCCTGGATATTTTTAAGTTTGCTATAACAAGCTAATATAATCTGATGGCAAGAACAGGAATCAATTTTGTGGGGCTGCAGAGTATTTTGCCTTGGTTTAGTTCAATTTTACCAAATCCCAAATGGAGAACCAGTTAGCAAGACATGTTTACCAGCAAGGATACCTTTAAACACAGATGCCCACGTTGCTGAAGAAATAAGGCCCCATTTCCTTTCCTTCTGCTTACTTGTTTTGATATCAACCTTTCCTCTGAAAATACGAAGACATTTCATACCTGTATAGATAATAAGAGAGATCGTTTGCCTTCTTTCAGGGCAGAAGATCTCACAGCCTGTCTGTGTGAATTCTTTATGCCAAATATCATAGAGTAACTCTGTCTATTACACAGATTTTCTTTCAAAATGTTTCCTCCTTTGTTTGGAAAACAGCATCAGCTTCTAGTATGAGTTGAACACTGCACTTAAATTTTATTTTATTTATAAAATTTCTATACCGGTCCACAGCAAGGTTCTTAGAATGAAACTAAACAAAAGAATGACAAAATGAACTCCGTTATTTTGGTAGTGTGGAGGACACAATTGACCAAACCCAATTTGTTATGTGTCTATTAAACACACACACATGGGTGTGTTTGACTATAAAGTCAGGAGTGTCAGGTTTAACCTTTTGCACATAATAGGGAGTATAAGGAAGGTCCCCGATTCCTTTCCCCATCTAGCCTCTGGCTCTCAGAAGTTTTAGGATGTTTTGCCAGCCCATGTCTTGTACCAGAAGTGTCTTGGCGGGGAAGGGAGTTGGGGGCGGGGTGGATACAGCAGGATGCACTTCCTTATTCTCATGCTTTGTAGTGTAAGCAGCTAATCCCCATTCCCAAGGTAACAGCTATGTGTCCACCTTGAGCTTGAACTCTTATGTTTTGGACCCTCTATAACTCCTTTCAAACAGCTAATGCAGACCACACATTAGTTCAGATGTCTTTATTACTCTACAGCCATGAAGGTGCTTTTAGAAGAAAAAGAATCAGGCAGATCAAAATGGAAAGTTATTTTATCACACATCTGTGAAAAGAAATAATGTGCAACATTTATTATGCAACTTTAAAGTTCCAACTTCTTCAGCACTCATCCAAGGGATGCATGCAGAAAGCCAGGGGGCAGGTGGGGCAAAGCGCATGAGGAACCCAGGCGCCCACCCACAAATGCTGGAGAAGTTCTCAGCACAGTAGAAATCCTTATTCAACAAAGAGTTGCTGAATGAGGCCCCTCTGGCTGGGACTGCAGCCTGGACCTATAATTTGCAAAATTAGGGACAGAACTTGGTCATTAAATCCCAAGGCCTTCTCCCTCACGTGAAGCTTTTGCTGCTTATGGTTGAACTGAGTGAGATATTATTCTGATCACACACACACACACACACACACACACACACACACACATTGTACATCATAGCAGTTTAACAGTTTTTTTTTAATCAGTATCAGTCTGTAGGCAAAATAGTGAATTGCTTCAGTTTTCAGAACAAATTCTTTCTCCTACCAGATCCTTTTTTAGCTCCTTATTTTGGGATGCCTGACATGTGCTTGTCACATTAGGGACAACGCTTGATAAAACCAGGCCATGGGCTCCCTGCTTCCTAATATGAAAATATGAAACCTTCTCAGCTTGTGGGTGGGATGACTTGAGGAATTCTGCTTACTGCCAACACCCTTTTGCAGGTGATGAGAAAGAAGCAACTACAGCAGAGTTACACCAGCCCAAGGAATCCTACCCAACAAATGGTATGTAAGGAATCAGGACAAAAGGATGTGTTTATTCAGAACTTTTCTTTCTGTAAATGTGGGGCTATTTATGGACCCATATGGGGGGGGGAAGCATTTTGTTTTGTTTTTTTGAAATGACAAATTGCCTTCATTTGCATTCTGTTGACTAATTTTTGGTGTGCAGGGTAATCAACTTGTTGAATGATAGATAGAATACCCCTTTGAGTATGCTTTTTGTCTAGCATCACTTGACTCTCAAGTCTCAGCTCAGTGGACTCTGCCTTCGAGAAAGATGGGAAGAAAACTGGGAGGAATACAAGATGGTAGGAGATGATCCAGAAGATCTTAGCCAGGGACCTCAGTTAGTGCTTTCTTACTCTTGGTGCAGCAGCTATCAAAACAAAGGATTTCCCCTTTGTAAGAGGAACAGTTTTCTCACTGAGATCTGGACAAAGGAAGTGAAATGAGGGAGAAACAGTTAAAACTTCTGTGTGCCTGTGAAAATGTTTTTCTCCTCTTTTTGTCAGTGAAAAAAGATTTATTGTTGACCGACACATTTGGAAATACCCTTCTTTGGGGGCTGAAACCCATCCATTTCTTCCATATAATGTTCCATAGGAGCCATAGGAGTGTCCCCTTAGTATTCATTCATGAACATGCATCCCACTTTATCCTGACATCATGAAGTCTTTTGAATCCATAAAAGAAGAATACAAATACATGAAACCAGCAAAACTTTGTTCATATTTCAAACCCCCTTTCTGAGTAGACACAATTTCACTCACTAGGAGAGAAAAGGGGACAGGCTCTGCAGGCATGTGAGGATGAAAGGAATAAGTGAATTGTACAGTTAAGAAAAAAGGAGGGGTTTTCAATTCTTTTTAATTTTTTTAATTTTATTTTTTTAAATACAAATGCAAAAATCATAAAAGGAAAAAAAAACACACAAAATACACAGAAGAAAATATGCAAAAGAAAATCACCCTGAGTACGCCGCTCCCCGGGGTCATGGCTGTATATTTTTCTTTTTCTTTCATTTTTTCTGCTCTTTCAGAAATACCCCCTTCCATCCAAAATTCTCTGTCTCCAATTGCATAACATTAAACCAAGTTCATTTTTCTTTTCAAGTAATGGCATTATCATTTCCTTATTATCCATTTTCTCCATCCAATCTTTTACCCTAAATATTTGTGTTTGTTTTAATACCTTTCTTAAGCTATCTCTCAAATTTTCTGGAAATTCTCTAATCTCTGTAACTGGAGTTATAGCCATAACTGAAGATAGTTGGCATAAATTCTTCCCTGTACTTCTCTCAAATTCACACCAAAATTTTTAAAAAGGGATTTTCTATATTTTTTACAATCTTATCAGCCTACTAAAGAAGATTTAAAGAAAGTTCCCTCAATTTCCTGTTGTGCTATCTCTGACCAAATTATTTCATATAATATTTGGTTTAAAACATAATTGATTCACTTCATAATATAGTTTAATATTCTAAATACCTAGGCCTCCCTCTTTTTTGATTTAAACCATTTTTTCTTACTAATCCTTGCTTTCTTATCTCCATTACAAAATTTATCAATCATATATTGCTCATCTTCTAACTCTTTCCCTAATATCCTAATTGGCAACATCCCAAATAAGAAGTTAATCTTAGGTAAAATTTTCATTTTTCAACTGCTGTGCTCCCAAACCAAGATAATCCTATTTTTCTAAATTGTTGCAGTTTCTTCTTCATTTCAGATTTTAATATATAAAATTATTCTTTTTCAGACATTTATTTTTTGAAATATTGCTACCTATTTAATAACATTACATATTCTAATTTGAAATTTATTCTTAATTCTTCCGTTTTCTTCTCTATTGCAATTAAACAGCATCCTCTCAGATTTTTCCCAATTAACCTGTAACCCTGTTATACCACCAAATTCCACCAAAATAGTTTTAATCTGATCCATAACTTTGAATGGATCCTTGATTGTTAACAATGTATCAGCAAATATATTAATCTTCAGCAAATCATCAGCAAATATATTTTTAATCCCAATACCTTCTATAGTATCATCATTTCTTATACTATTTGCCAATAATTCTATAACTAAAACAAACAATATTGGTGAAAGAAGGTATCTTCTTGGAGAGTCTTTGGACTTGTATAGCAGAATATAAGCTGAATAAATAATAATGAATAAAATAATTCCCTTCTAGTGCCTTGGCCTCAGCATATTCTTTCTGTTAAACCATCATTAACTGTCACTGTTAACAAAATTTTCTGCGTATAATTTATTTATTACACTTACTCCCAGTTGTTTCTGCCCTGAAATGTGCTTCTTTGCCCCTCTACATTTAAACAAGTGGCCCTGTAGGTACCAATGAAGTTTTCCCACCCAGTTCTCCTTCTGTGGAGGCAACAGGGGGAAATGTCTGCAGGGAAAGATTAAACCTCCTTACCTCACACATGGAGGTTCTGATCCATATCAGGGCTTCAGATGTTTATTATTACCACATTACTTTCAATTAAACCAGAGCAAGCGTGGAAGCTACATGCTAACTTATTAATGAAATGTGTTGTTCCACCTTCAAGTTCCGCTTTCATCATGAATCCCTTCAAAGAGCTCTCCCCCAACCCTGTCAGATAGAAATGCGTAAATTCCCACATGCAGCAAAGAAGGGCCCTAAACGCTTCTGCTCCAAGCATTCCATAGAGGGATGTTCTGCACACACGCCCAGGAAGGGCTGCATCTGATCCAGGGATCCAGCAACGCAACATCACTCTCCTATGCTGCTTGCAGCTGTTATGTCATTGTCCACAGCAACTGGTGATCTTCTACCCAAATCTTTTATCCAACTCATTTTATTGTATCATCTCTCCTGGGAAAGCTATTCATGTAAGAAAACACGTTTATGATATGTAATTATTTCTTTTTCATTTCTTAGGCAAAATCACACGAGTTTTAGATGTTTTAAAAAAGGTATTGTGAAACTGACTTTTTGTGAAAGAATTACTCCTCTCTGAGTAGCATGTGGGACTTTTTATCAGTTGATTCCTTAAAAGCTATCAGTAGTCAAACTTTTCAAACACACAATGAGAAACAGGAGATCTGGGACAAGAAAATTAACCTGGAGAAAATTTAAGTACTCTCCCTGCCTTCATTCTGCTCTGAAAAGTTGAAGCTTCATACATCTGCATGCATATTGAAACTTCATACATATGCATTCCCTAGAAGCAAAGGGAAAGGCAAATATTGGGGATGGGGAGCTAGCAAAATATTTCACTTTTGGGTCAGGAAGAGGGGAGCACACAAGGACCCGCTAGTGACAGGTTTCTCCCTGTTCTCCTTTCATCCCTTGTAAAATTGCCAGTTGTAGCCTTGCCTATCACTTTACAGTGATCCTGCTAATGCATTTTGTGTGTGACCTTTGCAAAAACAACCACCAAAAAGGTAAAGAGGTTGGGTGGAGATGACGTTTTGCCTCTATCTGTCCACTGAGATGGACCCGATCCCCTGGCAAACACATCCCTTGATTCAGGTGAAATAGAGCCTCTCTCAAGACATGTCCAAGTCCAGGGGTTTCTATCTGAATACAGGTCTCTCTAGCGCTGATCTTGCCCCTCTGATTTAAGTGGAAGCTGCAGTGGGTGGAATCTCAGCAATAATGTCAAGTGAGGTGCTCTGAATCGTTTCCCCTCCTGCCATTCCTTTAGCCCATGACAGGGAAACCTGTGACCCTCCAGATATGTTCAGCCTGCAGCTCCCCTCCGTCTCAGTCAGTGTGCCTTTGCCTGGGATTACAATCCACAAACATCTGGAGAACCACAGGTTTCCACTGACTGGAGCTTCAGCCCAGCGTAGTTGGCCCAGATGTGCCCATCTGTTGTCAAGCCTAACCTCTTCTGTTTGTCTCTTCCCATCAGTATTATCTGGTGCTTATTCCTTGTGGTATTGTGCTGACTGTTTCATTCTTGGTGCTAGGAGGATTGCTAATGAAACGTAAGTATGGAAGTGGCAATTTGTGCTCTGCTCTAATGCTTTTCGCTGAAGAAATCTCTTATGTATGTACGTACATACGTATGTGTTTATTTATTTATTTTCGTACATTTATATAGCACCCCCTAGCCCAGGGCTATGTACAATAGCATACAATAAAATCAACACTATCTCAGTAGAACAAAATAATAATACAGTAACAGCAACTTAAAATGGCATAGAAATCTTGCAGTTAATGGCAGAGAAAAAAAATAAAGGTGAGGCAGGAGATAATCAAATAAAAAAGCAGTGTTGAAAACTACTTTTGCCATTATAATGCTTGGAAAATAAAAAGGTCTTTGTGGCACTGAAAAGAAAGCTGCGAGAGCACTAGGAGAACTTCCCTAGAAAGCATATTCTACAGATGGGGGGCAATTTTTGGACTTCCCCCCTAATCTAGGCCTAGGGTCCTATTCTAGTGCTAGTAGCTGGTTCACCACTGTGTGAAGAGAATGCTGGATTAGATGGACTCTTAGTCTGATCTAGCAAAGATCTTCTTATGTTCTCTGTGTTCTTACACCAACATTTCACAGAGTTCTTTTCTCTTGCTTTCCACCTCTCCACAAGTTTTTTTTCCCCAAAAAGGTTTGTTTGTTAAAACTGCACAGTCTTTCTAGTCTTGGAGGGGTGTAAGGAAGAGAAGCAAACCTGTAACTCAGAGAAGGGTGTGAGTCACAGGCAGGTAGTCAAATGCGTAGAAATAGAGCTGACACTGAAGTGCGTCCACATGTTGGGTGGAACATGTGTCTGTAACCTCGTGTGTGACTCATTCACCACAGAATAATCCCACAGGCAGTACTGACAGAAAACATAAGCAAAGCTTTTGTGATTTATCTTTGTAGACATTATGAAGTATAGATGTAATTAAAAGACTGAGAGTTATCATTCATTGAACATGATATCATAATTTAAGATAATGGATGTTTAATTCCTTCTTGGGACTCCTGTTTGTGTAAAACTAGTCCAGGTCTGCCTTTATCCATAGCTTTTCTAACAAGTGTTATTTTTCATGTTTAATTTATTTAACTTCATACTGGATTTGGGATAAATTAATGCATTTCCTCCCATTTTTGTTTCTATCTTATTAACTTACATAAAGACTGCAATCTGTGTTTCGTTTCTGCTTCACCAAATCCATGACCAAGTCATATTAATATTTTATCATTTTTCTTTACATTCTATATTTCTCTGGTTGCTACAAGAAAAAAAGTTCACAACAGCCACGTAGTTTCACAATCCAGTAGAGATATTTATTTGTAAATAAGATTTTCATATCAACCTTGACTGAAGTCATAAAATCGACATACAATCAAGATATTAACATGCCTTTGTAAAATGTATATAAAATTACCCCAAAGCTGCAAGACTGTGGTCCCTGTACAAGTGTTCCAGGGCCCCAAGATACATCAAAGCCCCCTGTTGCAACATCCTCTTTAGTAACCCCAGGGATATTGCCAATGATCCCCTTTTTGGGGGGAGGGGGTCATCCATACGTTCAGCTTGATTCAGCTCTGGGAGACTTGCAGGAAGATTGTAAAGTGACAAATATTTCATGTGGAAATATTTTATGCTATGATATGTTAGTTCATCACATGTATTTGTTTATATATGTTCTATTTATACATGAGTTAATATTTATAGCAGCCTTTTATGATGTACTAATGATATTTCTATCCAATTTTTTCCTACACGGAATTCAAAGTGGCTTACGTAATGCCCCTTTTCCATTTTATCTTCACAAGAACCCTGTGGGGCAGGTTAGGCTGAGGGTAGGTACACTAGAAACTTGACACACACTGACTGTCAAGCACTTTCCAGTGTTTGCCTTTGTGCTGTTTTCTGATATAGTTTTTAAAATATAAAACTATAACACACTACATATTAAAATGCACTGAGAGTCTTTTTCCTTCATAACAAAAAATCGTTACTTACAGTGGCCTCAGATGCTCATTACCTTTGCATAGCCAAATGCACCTTTTTCACAGACTAGGATAGGTGTAATGTGATACTTATGCCTCGTCCATCACCACTTTGGCTGAATGAATCCATAGTCTATGGGAACTTCCAGACAGAGCACTCCTTCTCTTACCGGGAGGCACTGTGCTGCTATTCTCTCCTCATCCTCCCCTTCTTCTCTGGTTAGGGAAAAGACAGAAGAAGCAGCAGGAAAGGATGGGAGGGCTACAAGTGGAAGACAATGAGTTCTGGACCCCCCCCCCCCCACTGTTCAAAATCTGTGATCCTTTGGAAGATCTGCAAACTGGCAGATCTAGAGAAACTAGAGCGGCAGGCAGGCAGGCAGGCAGAGGGAAATTTCAGGAGGATGCAACCACCACTAAGAATGCTTTTTATGTGTACTATATTGGACAGCCTGGTACAACAGGACATAGAAAAGGAACATTTCTGCCTGCCTATTGGTAGTGAATCACTACGATAGGGTTTTCTATTCTTCAGAGATGTGGATTGCGACTTAGCCAGTTTGAGCTTCTGAGTTCAGATGCGATCAGGCATGTTGAGGGCCTTATGGCTGTGCAATCTACAATTCAGTAAACCATATTGTGTTGCCCTTGATGTTCTTATCAATATTAACCCAGCTTTGTTTCTTCCTTAGGTAAAAAGCTGAGAAAACATCAACTACGCAAATTGAAAAAGTTAGTGTTAACCTTGCAACCCATTTTTTTTCCTTTATGTCCAATTAGGAAAGAGGCAACTTTTATTTCATTTAGACTTATGCTAATATTGTGGATTATATTTATTCTTATTTTTGTTTTGCATCAGTCCCTCTTTCTAGAAAGGAAAACGTCTGATAATCAAGATACCTAATACATAGGGTAGTCCAATAAAGTAAATAAGTTTATTTGGTAGAAACATTATTTTCTGTTGCTTTTAAAATGATTGCATGTACTTTATTGTTGTATTTCCTAAATAAATAGTAGAATAGTAGCCCTGCATTAGCTATTTACCCTCAACGTCAAGCATATCTAAGGAAAGTCCTGCTGTTGTATAATCCAGCGATTATAATTCAATGATGGATTAATTGGATTAGGGATCTGTGGATTTCATCATATCCATTCTGTTACGTTATGCAGATTGTCAGGCATTTTTCACTCTTGATTATTTTCACTCTTGCTGATAGATCAGATTTTATGTATGAGATTTTTCTTCCTATTTGCAAATGCACAGTACATAATGTGCAAAAAGTACAAATGCACACTTACACCAGTGTGCATTATCATAAATGCACACTGGCACAGGTGTGCCTTTGCACAAATCTGCAGTGAAAGGAAATATCCACTCCCCAGTTTGGATGAAGCAGGCACTCCAGCGACAGTCCAAGTTATTTGAGCAGCGGCCTCTAGGGACAGGGCTTTGTGTGGGATCTTGGAATGGGCTTGGTGCCAATATTGGTCCCCATTCTGTATTTGGCACAAATAATTGTTGAAGCAAAATGCATTCACTAGGGCCAGCTGAAATTGTCAATTTTTTTTAAGGAAGCAGATTGAGAGAGGAGGTTGGACGCTAGTATTCAGACTAGTTATGTGACCCTAGTTTGGTTGTTATTGTTATAACAATGGTTCATTTTAACTTTCTGGAAATCTTTTTGTATTGGAAGCCATTGTGGGAACTTGTGTAGAAAATCAGAGCATGAAATACCTCACTTAAGTAAACTAAAACCACTGTTGTGTAACTACTCACCACAAGCTTTAAAAAGACTTGTGCTTGTTTTTGTAGCTTAAACAAACAGGAAGAATCTGAACCTATGGAAGCCACAGAAGCTACTGAATCTACTGAAACAGAAAGAAATAATGGAATTTTTCCTCTATAGTAGCCACATTTTTGCATTCCTGCCCAGCTACAAGATCCATGAAAGGAAGAATTCCTATGAAACATTCCTTAATATCTGAAAATGATCTCGCTGCTTCCACTTGTCCACTAATCGACTTGCCCCAATGCCATTTTTATTGGCTTTTCTTCCCTTGGCTTTCACCTCTGTTTTTATTTGTTCAGGGCAAAGAATCAGCAACAGCCCTGAGCACATGGTTGTCAGCCCAAAATGGTAGCTGTAATAGCAAGGACACAATTCGAAACCCAGCTCGACAGAAATTTTGGTCTATTCACCAACCATTTTCTTCCTCCAATTCTAGCACTTTGGCTTAGACCATGTGGGTCCTGGTCTAGACAATAAGTTTTAGCAATTAACATCTTGGGTTGATACATTGCTCCAGTTTTAAAATATTTCAGTACATAAATATAATAATTTTAGAACAGTTTAATGATGAGGACATGGGCTTTGTGGAAACCATATCCCAGAAAGATAAATGAGAAACAGCATAAACATTTATTTATTTATTTAGGATATTTGTATGCCATCCTTTGCGAGAGCCTCAGGACGGCTTACACAAATAAAATACAAATATCTAACATAACATAAATTAACTAATGACCCACTCTGGTTGCAATTAAAATATGACGATAAAACTCAATATTAAAACTTATTAAAATATTGATTCAATAAAAAAGTCTTAACCTGGTGCTGAAAAACATATAAAGACAGTGCCAGGCAGACCTCTCTGAGGAGCGCATTCCATAGATGGGGTGCCACCACAGAGAAGGCCCTCCTCCGGGTGCTCTATCTCCTAATATCTTTCACAGAGGGTTTCTGGAGGAGGGCTTCTGCTGCCAAACTCAAGGGGCGGGAGGGCAAATAGGGAAGAAGGCGATCCTTTAGGTATCCTGGTCCCAAGCCGTTTACGGCTTTATTGGTAATAACCAGCACCTTGAATTGAGCCCGGACTTCAATGGGAAGTCAACGGAGCTGATAGAGGACTGGGGTTATATGAGAATAACGCCCAGTACCCAACAGTATCCTGGCAGCTCTGTTTTGCACCATCTGAAGTATCCGGACCGTCTTCAAGGGCAGCCCCACATAAAGCGCGTTACAGAAATCCAACTGGGAAGTAACCAATGCGTGTGTTACTGTTGCTAGCCAATCCTCCTCCAGGTAGGGGCACAGCTGATGGATTAGCCGAAGCTGAAGGAAAGCGCTCCTCGCCACTGCTGCCACTCGAGCTTCCAAGGACAGCTCCGGGTCGAGGAGCACTCCCAGGTGTGGGCATTTCTTCTTCTTTGCCTTGTTCACAGTATCCTGATTGTTCCCCCATAGTCGCTCATGCCCGATTCTCTTTGATTGTTTTGTCTCCCTTGCCATTCCTAGAAACATGATCTTTGATCTCAGGTGATCTGATAAGATACAGTATTACAAGTCAATCAGATAGTATTTCATTAGGTCCAGCCATTATTGCCTTTGATGGGTTCAGCCTTGTTATTTGGTACGTGTCAATGGAGCATGTTGCTTACAAAGCTCACCAGCAATCCAGTAAGGCTGTGCTTCTGGATTTGGGTCATCAAGCTCAGCTGTGTTTAATGAGACTGAACTTTCCTGGGAATACTCACTAACTCTCTTTTGTAACAGGTCAGGCTTACTTATTAATAGCATTTCAATCAGGTAGTATCCTCTTGCTAAATATTATTTTGGTTTTCTTATTAAGCTAGAATTACTGTTCTGTTATACCTTCTGTAACATCACCAGCATTGTATAGAAAGAATTTTAATAAAATAAACTTCACACCAAAGCACTGCTTTCCTGCAATGAACAGAAAGTCAAGGCAAACGAAATGGCATTTTTCCTTTTTTCCCAAAACTGAGTCTGTGAAACAACTTTAGAAACACTGGGGATCTCTACAACCGCTGTGAGTAACTTTCTAATTTATTCAGATAAAATGGTCTGAAGGCTACCCGGACCACATTATAGGCTAGCCAGAAGAATGATGGCAGTTTGAACAATCGTCTTGCCTTGGAGCCCATTTCTTAGCTTTTGTTTGCAGATCTGCCACCATCGCTCGTGATGTTGCCTCCTAGTGGCCAACCAGGCCTTTTGTTGAAGGATAGGATCCTCCCTTTGTTGAAGAAAGGATCCTCCCTTGAGGATAGGGAGGTAGTCACAGTCTAGTTGAAGCACGTCTGTTACTCCTTTTCTCCCAGATGTGGTGAGTTGACAGAGGCATCTCAACTCAAAGTGAAGTTGGGGACAGACCTTTGCATGCTGGCCCCACCACCAGACTCCCCATTCCTCTATTTCCCTTTCTCCCTGCACTGAACAAGTTACCCCCCTACAAAGTTATATACCAAGTTAACATGTAGATCACCTTTGCTAAGCTGGAAAGGCATGGGCCTGCAGCCAGGTGGGTGACCACATGTGGAAGCGGAGAAAGTGGTTGGACTCGAAGGCCATATAGGCTTCTTCCAAATCTACTTCTACTCTATTCTAGCTAAAGAGAGGTTCTACTCTTATTCATTTGAGTGCAAGCAGAGTCATCCACATGATCGGAGATCCCAATAGAACAGGGCATTTTATTTGCTTTCAACTTAACATGTCACTCTATGTGGGAATGGGGCAATGGGACCCAACATGTACTGGGACATCAGGGAGGGGCAGCATTATTATTGTTGTTTAGTTGCAAAGTCGAGCCGAACCCATCATGATTCCATGGACAACACTCCTCCAGGCTCTCCTGTCCTCCACCCTCCCCCAGAGTCCACCCAAGCCCACACCCACTGCCCCAGTGACTCCATCTAGCCACCTCATTCTCTGCTGTCCCCTTCTCCTTTTGCCATCAATTGTTCCCACCATCAGGATCTTTTCCAGTGATTTGTTCCTTCTCATTAGGTGGCCAAAATATTTGAGTTTCATCTTCAGGATCTGGCCTTCTGAAGAGCAGTCAGGGTTGATCTCCTCTAGGACTGACCGGTTTGATCACCTTATGGTCCAAGGGACTCTCAGGAGTCTCCTCCAGCATCACAATTCAAAGGCCTCAATTCTTCAGCACTCAGCCTTCCTTATGGTCCAACTTTCACAGAGCGGCAGCATGTGTGGCCCCATTCCTATTCTCATTCCTTACACGTTCTTCAGAGCTCCTGAAAAGGGCTGGGGAACTGCTGGGAAATTGCCCTGAAGCTAAATGCTTGCAGCTTGACACTACCTGCAAGTTCTGTGCACAGGATAAATGCCCTATTTGCCCAATGGAGGGACAAGACTTGATCCAAACACTCTCCAAATAGCATCCAAAAAGTTATAGTGTGTCACACACACTCATAATTCAAATTAACAGGGTTAGTAAAGGAACTTAGTTTGAACCAATCTGTCTTCTGAAGATCTTGCCCCAGAAATGGAAATAGGAGCACAACTTGTTCACCTGAGCATTCCTTCTTCCCTGCCTGGCTCTCCATATCCCCTCTTCCAATTATTTACTGTGGCTCATGTTTGAATTTACAAAGGAAATCAGAGGACAGGAACATGCTCAGAACACTAATGAATCCTGTTGGGACATATTTAAATGGAAATGCACTGAACTAATTCATGAGCAACTGATACCAGCTGTCAATGCATTGAATGAAAGGTTAAAGAGATCCTTTTGAGAGGCAACCAAGAGAGAAGAGCATTCCTCTAAAGAAAACAGGCGTAAGAAATACAGTCCCTGGGTGCAAGAAAACTTGGCAAACATGGCAACTCTCATGACAGGGGGACTATGTCAAAAATGAGGCATTGAGGTCTCTTAGCATTCCTTTCACTTAAAAGAAGCCCTTAGTTCTGAGTTGTGAAGGGTGAACTGGCCCCACTGCAATTCAGTATCTAGCAACCGAGTTCAAAATCTGCTGAAATGAAAGTTCTCTTGCTTTTCTGTCCCTGGAAGTGTGGCTGAATTTTCCGCATGTGCATGCTGCCAAAATGCAGCTTGGGAATGTGTGGGAATGCATAAAGTGACATTCTTTTTCCACTCTGTGCATCACAAAGGACAGATGTGACAAATCACAAAGTGACAAATGGCCACTATGCTCATGCCCTTGCTCTCATGCCCAGCCAATTTGCATTCACATGCAGTGCCCACACACTGAGGGAGGGTGGATTAGTGTTTCTGGTAGAAACTGAAACCATGTGAAGATGCTCATTTCTTGAATGGCACAGGTTGGTGGAGTTCACATAACATGTCTGAATCAAAAAATGAATCTTTCTATTAATCTGGGGCTACCTCTGGGAAGTCACAGAAACATAGAATAGTAGGGTTGGAAGCTGAATCTCATTCTGTTGCTTTCAGCCCAGTATTCAAGTTCACCAAGATCACTCTGGATCTTCATTCTGTCTTCTAGGTGTTTGCTATTCCACCCAGTTTTGTATCATCTGCAAATCTGATTATCCTTCCTTGTACTTCCTCATCTAAATCATTAATAAAGATGTTGAAGAGCACTGGATTTGAGCAGATGGGTTTAGATGCCCCACTGGATTCTGCCCTGTACCATAATGTCCTGTTTAAGTGTCTGAGATTCTCTCTCTCTCTCTCTCTCTCTCTCTCTCTCTCTGTGTGTGTGTGTGTGTGTGTGTGTGGTGTTGTGCACTTGGGCTTCCAATTCTCTAACTGTAAGATACACCAGATGCAAGGACTATGGAATTTGGAAAGAATGGTAAGGAATGCTGTTGATCTTGTGGTACCTGCTGATTTTAAAATATCACTTTTAATTGGACCCAGATGTGAAATGTGAGGTGTTTAAGGCCCACTGATTTCAGTAAAACTAAATCTGGATTCAACCCTGTAAGCCTGTGTGTGTGATTAAGAACACCCAGAGAAATCTGGAAGGCAACCTCATTTTTAAAAAAATAATTTGGAATGGTTCCCAAGTCTGTGTCTTCTGCCAGACTTCTTGCCTGCTTTAATTACTTCCTTACAACTTCTCAAGATATTTTTCTTCATCCCCTAACCAAGCATGCTGGATGTGCCTTAGTTTATTAGGTTCTTACTCAGGGGTGCACTGCATATAACTCCTACTTTCCCAAATTTTGGGGGGAAGAAGGCTATCGGTAGCATTGTGGGGCACCAAAACCATTTAGCTTGTAAGCAATTTTTGCACAATTCTTCTATTTTCAAGTGCCCATGAAGTATGACCCATGAGGGAGGCAGGTCCAGGGGTCAAAAATGGCTCCTTGGACCTCTTACAGTTGCCCACCCCTGCCCTAAATGGTTGCTCCTCGCATGTACTCACTGAGTCAATTGATCACTGATCAATAGAAAGCAAGCAATCAAACCATCAAGTATAAAATAATGGAATTTATTTGACAGAAAGCACAACAAGACACCTCTTTATGATATGTAGAGCCAGTGTCATAAATAGGTGCAGATTTAAAGCATAGCAGTGCTTTAGTTCCAAGTTGCAAAGATAATTAGGTACATGAGGCTGCAGTTCTGAGTAACCTTTTTGAAATTACA